GTCTGGTGAAGCCTTTATACTCCTCCTCGGAATAAGGTCTTTAAGTGCAAAAAATAAAAATAAATGAAGCTAATAAGGTAACCCATTGTATTGGACAAGCTACCAAAATATTTTGAAAACACATGTGTGCCTTAGTAATATGTCTTTTTTTAAAAAGTTTTATTTATTTATTTATTTGACAGAGAGAGCACGCACAAGCAGGGGGAGCAGCAGAGGGAGAGGGAGAAGCAGGCTTCCTGCCGAGCAGGGAGCTTGATGGGGGACTTGATCCCAGGACCCTGGGATCATGACCTGAGCCGAAGGCAGACGCTTAACCCACTGAGCCACCCAGGCGCCCCAGTAATATGTCTTTTTTATTGAGTTAAATGAAAAGATCTAGTGGCAGTTCTAAAAGCTTCATGTCTTTGAAGTAGTGATGAATGTAAATTCTCTCCTAACAAAACTGAAACAACTTTCATATGATATGAAAATAACAGTTTTCCACATTGTAAGAAAGTCACAGAAACTGCTAATATAAAGTACTGGATTTTGTTGTCATTTTTTTTGCTTACATTTGGAATTAGAGGAAGTGCTACATTTTATTTATTTTTTTTTTCAAATATCTTACAGTTTTATTTGTCAATTATACTTCACTAAAGCTGAAAAAAAAAAAAGATCAGTGGTTGCCAGGGGTTGAGGAGGGAGGGAAGAATGATAGAGATGGAGCGCAGAGGACTTTTAGGGCAGTGGAAATATTGGTTTTGATACGATAATGGTGGATAAACGGACAAAAGCACGCACCAAGCGTGGACCCCAATGTAAACTGTGGACTTTGGGTGACGAAGACGTGTCAGTGTGGGCTCATCCACTATCACAAATGTGCCACTGCTGGGGGGACGTCGACGTGGGGGAAGCCGTGGTGCGTGGGGGCGCGGGCGACAGGGGATCTCCCTGTACCTTCTGCTCAGTTTTGTTGTGAACCTCAAACTGCTCTACAAAATAAAGTTTATGTTTTTAAAAAATGCTACCTATACTAAAAAAAGAAAGAACATTACACTTCCTACACGGAGCGTCGGGCAGTGTATTTACCCTGGCCAGGTGTGAATGTGTATCTGCGTATAGACGCTTCCCTAACTTCCCAGTCTTCCACGATGAAACTGGAGCAGTTCTTCTCTGGGCGTGTTCAGGGCCATGGCTCCACCCTGGTCTACACTCTTCTTGTCTCGTTGCATCACTGGCTGATGCTCTTCTGTTACACATTCTCTTTTGCATTCCATACCATTTATGTGGGGTTTTCCCACCATTGCAGCCATCACCCAGATAAGAACTCCTTGATTCTCCCATTTATCCAGGTTGCTATGAAGTTTAGTGTCTGTAGCCCAGGGGCTAGGGGAGGTTCTTTCTATCCTCAAAATCAAGTTCAATCCTCAGTGTAGGAGTTGTACCACTGTACATAACCAAAGCTTTTCCCAAGATTTAGACAAGTTCCCTGGGGGCTTATATGCTTAGTTTCTTCTGTCCCGCGCTTTCTTCTTCTTCCCAGGTGCTGCCCTGCACCATGTAGAACCAGGTGTGAAGTACACACTATGCTCTTCCCACACACACAATAAAATCCACTCAAACACAGCATTCGTGAGCCCAGTTGACTTTAAGGAATGTCTGGGGTCACAGGGGTGGGACAACACAAGATAACAGACGTTCCTGCTCTCCCAAGTCTCTCACTGCCATCAGGCAGCGTCCTCGCTCTAGCTCTTTTATCTGCTTCTCTCATCTCCTGCCCGTCTCCAGTTTTTCTCCAGGTCAAGCCATGCATCTGTCTCTGATGCCTACCCCCAAACTTATGTAGTCAAACCTATCACATTTCTTATCAAATCATGAGCTTTCATTTAATAAGACCCCACTCCCTGGAAAGAAATTAGAGAGGCAAATAGCCATGTGGGGTGTGCGTGTGTGCGTGTGTTCATCCCACACATGATGAGAAACTCAGATCTTTCATAATATCTCCAGATCCAAGTTCTTTCTTCTATCAAATTCCCCTTCTCTGCATTACATCTCTAATATTTTTCCTTTTGTATTGCCCCAAATCATTTCGATCCTCTCAAATACTACTTATTTTTGGTTGTGCATGGAGCCTACTGCTATGCGGACAACAAGGAGTGCGGGAAAGAGATTATCCTGCAACAGTGCTCAACAAACAAAAGTAAATATGTGACATCCTTGCTCATAAAAATCCTTTGGCCCTTGTAATGAGCAAGACGATTCCAAATACCATTGAGGATGTGAAGCAACTGGAATGTTCACACACTGCTGCTGGTTGTGTCCTTGGTAATGTCCACTTAGAACAGTGCTTGGCTCTACTTATAAAAGCTGAACACACACATAGTTTTTGGCCCTGCAATTCCACTCCTAAGCATATACATAACAGAGATACATTCATATTTTCACCATTAGACGTGTAGAACGATGTTCATAGCAGCACCAACCCTAATAGCCAAAAACCAGAAACAACCCAAATGTCCATAAAGAGTAGAACAGATAAATAATCTGTGGTGTAATTATACAATGGATGACTATACAGACATAGAACTGATGAAATACAACTACATACAACATGGATGGATTAAACAAACATATTAAGTGAAAGAAACCAGGCATGAAAGAGAACATACCATTGGGTTTCACTTATATAAAGTTCAAAAAAGCCCACACTAATCCATGGTGTAGGAAATCAGGATATTGATTACTATTGGATTAATGACTTGAATAGGAAGTGAGAATGGATTCTGAAATTCTGGAATGTACCATTTCTGAATCTGAGTGCTAGTTACACAGATCTACTCACTTTATGAAAACTAAGCTATCTACACGTGATTGGATACCTTATTATGTGAGCAAAGTGTTAGCAGCAGACCTTACTCTTTTTCCTCCAGACCTAGATCTGCCTGGGAGGATTTTAGGCTTACCTTTCCCAGCACTTGAATAGCACAGTCCCTTAATATGTCCCAAGATAAATTGGGAATGCTCGGTCCCAGGGCCAGACATGTGTTGGTACAGTGAAAATCTCTGATCTGTTAGACAGCACGTGAGCTGGGAGACCTGTGAGTTGTTAGCCTACGTGACAGGTAGAAAACCAAGAGAGAAGCTTCTTTGTTTAACGATGACCTCCAGAGGGCGCCTGGGTGGCTCAGTCGTTAAGCGTCTGCCTTCAGCTCAGGTCATGATCCCAGGATCCTGGGATCAAGCCCCACATCAGGCTCCCTGCTCCGTGGGAGGCCTGCTTCTCCCTCTCCCACTCCCCCTGCTTGTGTTCCCTCTCTCGCTGTGTCTCTCTCTGTCAAATAAATAAAATCTTTAAAAATAAAATAAAGATGACCTCCACATACTATGGCCTCATCACCAGCAATCAAATACACACACTCTCTAGGTGGGTGAGGGGGGGCCCAAGCAGCTATGCACATGGACAATTGGGAGGCTTCATTGAAACTGAAGGGCTGTGCATGTTTTTTCCTGTCCCGAATCTCTCTGAAGAGCTGAGCAAACATACTGCTGGACCAAATGCTATTGTGTCATGTGAGTTTGACCGCCAAACATGTTGTCAATACAGTAGTGGGCCATGCATTGTACTTCAATAAAAAGTTTACTAAAAGGGCGCCTGGGTGGCTCAGTTGGTTAAGCAACCGCCTTCGGCTCAGGTCATGATCCTGGAGTCCCGGGATCGAGTCCCGCATCGGGCTCCCTGCTCAGAGGGGAAGTCTGCCTTTCCCTCTCCATCTACCTCTCCCCCTGCTCATGCTCTCTCTCTCCCTCTCAAATAAATAATTTTTTTTTTAAAAGAGTACACTGGGGGCACCTGGGTGGCTCAGTCAGTTAAGCGACTGCCTTCGGCTCAGGTCATGATCCTGGAGTCCCGGGATCGAGTCCCGCATCGGGCTCCCTGCTCCGCGGGGAGTCTGCTTCTCCCTCTGACCCTCCCCCTTCTCATGCTCTATCTCATTCTCTCTCTCAAATAAATAAATAAAATCTTAAAAAAAAAAAAAGTTTACTAAAGAAAAAAAAATCCTTTGACTATTCTTGCCAAGTGGGTATTTAAGCTGAACATAGTCTATGCTTGGCCTCCAAATTCCTTCCATTTTTCTGGGCTTCCCCTCTCTTCTTTGAACCCTTGTCTTCTCTTTTTTAGGGCTCTCACTCACATCCAACCCCTAAACCGTTCATTTCTTATGCAGAGCTCTTTATGGCACTAACTCACCCCAGACTACGTAAGCCATCCACAGAGAACCCCTATCAGTAACTAATACTGAGATCAGTTCCCCCACATAGTCCTTTCCAGGAGACGTTGTGTGACTTCTTCTTTAAGGAAATTTTTCCTTTTCTTTTGTTTTCTTTTTTCAAGAAATTTTTTCTTCTGCTAGACAAAGATGCTGAATCTCTGTCTAAAGACATTCCAAACTCACACGTTATCTGGAGCCTCCGTTACACACGTGATAGCTCCAGTTACTCCTGTTTCTTGGTGTGTCGAACTTTCCACAAGTGTTAAATTACAAGGCAAGAGAGCATGCCTACCACCCCCGACGTATGCTCCTAGACGTGCCAGGGGCTGCCATCTGACCTCTAGCGATGACTTATCCCTGGCCTCATTCTTTTTTTTGTTTTTTAAAGATTTTATTTATTTATTTGACAGAGAGAGACACAGCGAGAGAGGGAACACAAGCAGGGGGAGTGGGAGAGGGAGAAGCAGGCCTCCCGTGGAGCAGGGAGCCCGATGCAGGGCTCAATCCCCAGACCCTGGGATCATGACCTGAGCCGAAGGCAGACGCTTAACGACTGAGCCACCCAGGCGCCCTGTATATGCTATTTTAATTTAAACTAATTATGTTATAAATTTTGTTTGAATTAGAACAAAAAGAAACTGAAACTAAAATGATTTAATTTCTGAATTTCAGGTAATATTTTCTTTTATACAGAGAATAGTTTTTTTTTTTAAGATTTTATTTATTTATTTATTTATTTGAGAGAGAGAATGACAGAGAGAGAGAGAGAGAGCACATGAGAAGAGGGAGGGTCAGAGGGAGAAGCAGACTCCCCGCTGAGCAGGGAGCCCGATGCAGGGCTCGATCCCCGGACCCTGGGATCATGACCTGAGCTGAAGGTAGACGCTTAACGACTGAGCCACCCAGGTGCCCCTCTGGCCTCATTCTTGATCCGTACTCTGTCTCCCGGCTTTGCACTGATGGCAGAGATTCTGTAGTTGACCCTAACTTTTCAGTTGGTTATAACATCAACCTTCCCCCTGGTCTTGGCTTTTGCTGTTTGATAGTCTCATACCCTCTTGCACTAAACTCTGGCATATCTCACTTGAACTAGGGTCTCAGTAGTAGGAGGCCTGTCTCACCTCCCATAGTCATGAGGAAAAGGGTTATGATCGTTTCAGAAACAGCACAGGGTCTCATACAAATATTTCTGAGACCACCACTCGAATTATCAGAGTTGAACACTCTCGTGCCTGATGCTCATTATTTCAGTGCGTGTTGACCGAGCACCACGGATATTGAGATATGTCATTTTGGCAGTGGGGAAATACGACTTAAAAGTCACAACTACTACCAGCCAGCAGCTTAGATTCTAATGAGAATCCTAATGCAGAACCATGATGCAGGGTGGGACAGCATCCCATTGTGAAACCTTATGGTGATAACATCTGTACTTTCTGCCACACCCTTCCTCCTATGGGAATTGTGAAGCACTCACAATGACAAAGATAAATTTCCAATCATTTCTACAAACAATGCATGAGAAATTAAGATTTAATTATGACTCCTGGTTATTTTATCTTGAATTCAAAACCCTGGGCTTCAGAAATAATGGAGTTTGAGGTAACATTTGGGTATCTTGTTTTTGCCTCCTCTTGTTCTTAGGGAAAAAAACAAGTCATCTTCTAGAAAGGTCCTGGAGGTACTTTCTACAGCAAAATGAGGCTTCTTACAAAAGCAGACCCATACATACAGAGAATGAATTGACGGTTTCCATAGGGAAGAGGATAGGGGGATGGACAAAATGGGTGAAGGAGAGTGGGAGATACAGGCTTCCAGTTATGGAATAAATAAATCACGGGGATAAAAAGCACAGCATAGGGAATAGAGTCAATGATACTGTAATAGCATTGTATGGTGACAGATGGGAGCTACATTGTGAGCACAGCGTAACACACAGAGATACTGAATCACTATGTTGTACATCTGAAACTAATATCACATTGTATGTTGTATCAAAAAAAATTTTTTAAGAATTTAACTTAAAAAAGATATAAAATCTTCAAAACATATAACTTTTCTTTACCTAACTGTGCAATAAGCATTCTTTTACACTATGAGGAAAACAAAATAAAATGGGTACATTACACATTTTTTTTAAAAGTCTCTTAAATTGTCCAATTTCACACAAAGTATGAAATTTTAGCATTGAAATTCAGGTTCTGAACTGACCCTCACAATGGATATTACTGGAAATAGAAATGTCACCAGGTCGTGTTCAAAGAACTTTGCCTTCACAGTGTTTAAAACTGGAACACAGTGGGGCACCTGGGTGGCTCAGTTGGTTAAGCGTGGGATTCTTGATTTCAGCTCAGGTCTTGATCTCAGGGCCGTGAGTTCAAGCCCCATGTTGGGCTCCGTGCCTACGTAAAAAAAAAAAAAAAAAACTGGAATACAAGAAACTGTCTCCAAAATAATCAGATATGTGTAAAACCAATTTGTTAAATAACATAAGGAAGATTATAAAAGACAGCTTAAGAATGTTCACATTCATGTGGTTTGTAAAGGTGCATTTTCCATAAAGATCTGTACAGCTCAGAAGCATTAAATTCTGCAGAGAAGGCTCCTTTATTCCATGCGTTAGCAGAATTTCTTTATTTCAGTGAGTCCCTGAAGTAAAGGATGTCACTCCTCTTCAGAAAAGAAATTTCCTCAGCTCTGTAATGGGTCAAGTTTTCATATACCCTCAGGGGCTCTCAGGGCTATTCTCATGAAGAGCAGCCACTATGAAGATGGTTATGGAGCATTTTTCCCTTCTTCACATACAGGACACAAAGAATAGTACAGAAAAAAGGAGAGTTTGGAAGTCCCTCTCCAACATCCGTGTAGAAAAATTACTTCCAGAATATTCTTAAATTTTAAAGTTTGAAAAGCCTGTGATCTTTGCACTGTTTCTAAGAGTTAGCCACTCTAAAGGAAGGTGTTCGTCATCAGTCACCCCACGCAGGATTTCCTTTTGTGATAATTTTGCGAGATGATCCTCTGGGTTGGCATTCCATTCAAGTCACCAGGTTTCTGCAATCTCTGTGAGAACCTGCAGCAGCTCAGCAAATGTAGGGCGGCCTTTAGGCTTCTAGAAAAGAGAAACAGAGATGGTCAGCTCAGCCTGAAACTCACTCAGATACCAGCTCTGGAACTTGCTGGCAGGGACCTGGAACCAGGCTGGTTCTCCACAGGTAGAAGAGAAAGATATCTGGGCTGACACACCGGGCATGATTGGTAGTTGAGTGAAGCATGAGTGTGAAATTATAAGAGTAGAGAATGCTGCCAGAAAACACAAGCCACCTGAGACCATTTAAATTTAAATTAATGAAAATTAAATACATTTTTAAGTTCAGTTCTTTGTCACACTAGCCACTTTCCAATTCTTCAATAGCCAGGCACCATATTGGATAGCACAGACATAACACAGTTCCATCATCACAGGAAGTTCCACTGGATAGCGTTGCCCTAGAGATTTATTTGGATGACTTGATATGCATGGGATAAAGGAAGAGCTGGGAGAGAATGGGCATCCAGAGTTCCAGGCTCCCAGGCTCTGCCCAGTTATTTACTAGACTTGATCCCCTGTAGAAAGAAGGATTTCAATCAGAAAGCAAAATGTTTTCATAAGGGTCTTTGCAGGTCCTGGAGCACCCACTGTGCTGTCCTTAAGGCTCGGTCAACAAAATCCTGGTCACAGAGACGAAGACTGGAACATTTATCTTATTTCACCAAGGGATGTGGTTTGGCTTTGGCTCCATGAAGAACAAAAGATGACACTGTTGGCATCTTTAAAATCCATGGGAAATAAACAGGGCATGTTCTGCATGGAGCCCTGGGTGCTATATGTGAACAATGAACCATGGAACACTACATCAAAAACTAATGATGTCATGTATGGTGATTAACATAACATAATAAAATAAAATCCATGGGAAATAGAACCACTTGGGGTAGCCACATTCTCACAAGGATAACTGGCCGCAGAGTTTGTGGGGAGACACCACCCTTAGTGCTTTATAAACAGAGGGCATCAATAAAAAGGACCAAGCAGAAGGGTGTGTAAGCACACATTCAAGTTCTCCTTGGGGTTCCAGGAATAATTTCTGGAGGTTTTGGAGAAGGCTGTCGTTCTGCAGCTAGAAGAGCCTATGAAACAGTATGTGTATATCAGTGTGTGTGTGTGTGTGTGTGTGAGATAATACAATCACATTTGAATTTAAAGGTGCCTAAGCACTTAGGGTGTTTAGATTACCTTAAAAAGTTGTAGGCAAATCACCTTTTGCAAACAAATAAATCAGCATCACCAAAAACACTGTTTTAATCAAGGCTCGGGCTACGATTTGAGACTGGTATCATTTACTCGGGCCTCCTGCCAGCGTCCGATTTGTTCCCTTTTCTGTTTCCTCTCCACAGATAAATAAAATCTCAGTAAATATTATATTTTATGCACTGTACATGTCTATTGTTCCAAAAGCAACATATATTTCTAAGCTCTCCACGTTGTTACTGCAGGGAAGCTCCTAAGACAGCCATTTGCTGCTAACAGCTCACTTAACATGTGCCTGTTTTTCAAAATTCCTTGCAGAGCAGTTCATCATATGTAAAATATTTTCATACATCAAGGATCTTTATAAAATTAATACTTCTCTGGAATGTGAACAACTACACTGCTCTTGAAATATTGAGTTTTTCAGTGTTTGTGGATTGAGAATCAAGCGACTTCTTTTTCAGCCAGGAGGAAACTCCTCATCCAGCTGTGGTTTTTCTGGACGGACACTGTCAGCTGGAAAGAGAAAGCTGTCAAAAGTCACAGGGGAGTCTGATATGAAGGGGAGAGGTGCACTGAGTCTGTGCCCAGAAAAGACAGGACATGTCTGGCTTTATTTTGAAGCGTGGCATCTCGAGAAAAAGAAAAACTGGACTGACCCCTGCCCTCCCCCCAAAGGGAATTTCCTGAGTACAAGTTCCTGACACACTTTCTGCCTTTATTCCTAATCTATCAGGAATCTTGAGTGCCAAAAAGAGATGAAATCCATTACTGTTAGCCTTGGAGAAGCAAGACAAATTATAGTAGAATGAAGTAAATACAAACAACATCCTTCTCTTTCCATGTCAGCATTTACCAAACCTGTTTCTACCCTTAGTTTCCACCCACCAGTTCTCAAAGGGAGTGAAACATCTCACCCCTGAGGCTCTAGTCACCACAAGAGTTTCTGCAAGAACCAATCTCAGACAAAGAAGACCTGAAAAAGGCGCTGAATTCCTCAGGTAAGAGGCCATCGTTAAAAACAAAATTGGTTGACGACCTCGACCTCGTAGTGGGAGTTTCAGACAGAAATAGCACTTCCTGCTCTTAGGGATCCTTATCAAGAAAGAGACTCCTCCACCCCCTCCACCCCCACCCCCACCCCCATGGAGTCCTGGGGGGTAATGTTTGTCACACTCAGGCCTGTGCTCTGATGCTGGGACTGCCCACCTCCCAGGAGAGTAAGGGACACTCACCTCGTGCCAGCAGCCGTACATGACCTCGTAGACGGCCATCGGCGCCAGTGGAGGCCGGTACAGCCGGAAGCCTCTAGAAATGGCTTCCACAACCTGCAAATTTGACTTATTTTCAAACGGCATTTTTCCTTCCGTGAAAACTTCCCACATCAAAACTCCTACAACACGAAATGCATGTAAACAAGAGGTTACTTGAAACTGAAAGAACTCTTTGAAACTACAAGGCCTTTTTTTCCTCTTCCGGCCTCTGTGTTATAATCGGTCCAGAATGAGAACAGTTCTGTCTAGGTATCAGCCCGTGTGCGTCTTCGTTTTCGAACAGGCCTGTAATCTGACAATATTCCAAGTGAAAACAATGCCTTTCTTTTCCACTGGTCTTGACCGCCTCCCGATTGAAAGAAAACGCTGCCATCATTTTTCATTTCTAAGTATGTTCCTGTCTTCACACCCTGAAATCAACAAGCCTCTCTGCCACCCCATAGAATGTGACAGAATTGTGTGGCCAAGAGTTTGCCAGCCCGCAGAAGGCACGAGTTCCTTCTGCCCACTGAAAGATGAGACTGCTGGGTAGAGCAGAATATTTAGCAGGGGCTTGGTACGTGAGTAGGTGTTCTATAATCATTGATTGGTTGATTAGTGAAACTCCTTCAAGGCTCCCATCTGAACTTCATTTAATTATTCACTTATTCTAAGAGTATGTATTATGCATTGATTAGAGGCAGGGCATATGCTAGAGCCAGAAGACTCTAGAAACCAGTCCATGGGCTCAAGCAGCTCACTGTCCAGTGGGAGATAGAGACAAGTAGTCAGGTAAAACTCAGATATTCTAATTGTTCTGCACCTACTTGATGAGATCCCTGTGTTGCTATCTGTTAGTCTCACAACTTGACTGCTCTCCTGGAGAGTGTAAAATGTCACCTGCCAAAACTACCAAAAGTCAGTGGAGAACTAAAGGGATCAATGATACAAGTTTCACCTTACGTGGACAATAAAATTCACACCCTTCTGAGGGTGCAGAGGTGTCTCCAAACCCAAGAAGCTATCCAGAGAGGTCTGGATGAAAGAGAATAGATAGCTTATTGCAAATTGACCGCCACTTTTTGAAAATCGACTCAAAGAACAGATTCCACTGGACATGGATCTGCAACATCTCTTTCTCGATGAAGAACATTACACAATATAAACTCCAATTGACAGTTCCCAAGGAGGCCTACATCTAAATACCACAAAATCTGAAGGTAACGAAATAAATGCAATAGTCTTGCTTAGTAGTTAGAAATGAAGTTTATTAATTACACTCAAAATTCAGTGACACCTTAGATCTATTTTCCTTGCAAGTCTCTGTGGTGTAAAAAAGGTGGCTGCCTTTGTTTTCTAGATCAGTAGACTCTCTGTTACGGTTTTCCTGCAAATGCTCATCAGGAAAAGGAAAAGATCCAAAAGGTAGACTTATATAAGAAGGTGCATGACACTGGTTGCCAAAGACAGCCTGGACGTGTTTAGAACACTTAAGACAGAAGGACAGTTCCAAGAAGACCTTTCTAGAACCCCACATCATACTAAGAAATCAAAGCTTAAAAAAGATTGGCCTTTTATTAAATCAATCTCCATCAAATGAACATCAAATTTACTCACCAAATGACCAGACGTCAGATTTGCTGCTGTACTTGTTGAAATGGAAAACCTCAGGAGGGGACCACTTGATTGGGAACTTGGCTCCAGAAGAACTGATATATTCATCATCCAAAACGTACCTAAGGTCATTAGATTCAAAGCACATTGTGCTAATTGCTTCCAAGTTCCATTTAGTTCAAACCCCCTTAGTCTACCTTAAGTTCTAAAAGAAAAAGCAGGGGTGCCTGGGTGGCTCAATCAGTTAAGCAGTTGACTCTTGATTTTGGCTCAGGTCATGGTCTCAGGGTCCTGGGATCAAGCCCCATCAGGCTCCGTGCTCAGCAGGGAGTCTGCTTGGGGATTCTCTCTCCCTCTCCCTCTGCCCCTCCCCTCACCTGCTCAATCTCTCCCTCTCAAATAAATAAATAAATTTTTAAAAGAGAAAGCATTTATTTTTACCCCCCAAAGTTTCTCTTCTTGTTACCAAAATGGGAAGGTATCCTATATAGTGATTCCTCCTTAAACCAAGCCTCAATTGGGTTTATTTGGGTCTCAGAAAACCAGATCAATTCTTCAATCCAAAACCAATTGGAATCAGGAACCCACTGATTATTTCAGTTATGACAAATTCTTAATTTTGCAAGGGAGCTTGCTGAGTGCTCTAACAACCAAGATTATAAAAAGGAAATTAAAAAATAAGTATATATGGCAAAGAATAAAATCAAAGCTGGATGCCTTATTTTTTTTCTTCATGCAGATGGGTTTTGTGAGGCAGAGAAAGGGGGAAATAAGAGTATTGAACATAATACATTTGATGTGAAAAATATCCAATGCATTAAAATGGCCCTGTATGAAATCAGTAATAACTACCAGTTCCTTTTAAAAACTACAAAAATATGGGGCGCCTGGGTGGCTCAGTTGGTTAAGCGACTGCCTTCGGCTCAGGTCATGATCCTGGAATCCTTGGATCGAGTCCCGCATCGGGCTTCCTGCTCGGCAGGGAGTCTGCTTCTCCCTCTGACCCTCCCTTCTCTCATGTGCTCTCTCTCATTCTCTCTCTCTCAAATAAATAAATAAAATCTTAAAAAAAAAAAAAAACTACAAAAATATTAAACCCTCCCTCTCTTTTGAGGCTTGCAGGCAGGAATATCCAAGTAGGGGAATCTGGAGAGAAGAGCGAAGAGATGATGACTAACTTGTAGCAGCTGGAGTGTGCAGCATGGTAGTTTTGAATTATTTATCAGTGCTTCCTCACACTCTCTTTTTTTTCCCACGCACCCTACCTCACCCTACCTTTAAGCGCTTTATTGAGCCAGAAGTCATCCTACTCAGGGAAAGAGTAGCTAATAGAAAACAAAAGAGAAAGAGCCATTTTTCATAGCTTTTGAGTTTCAAAAGTCTAAGATTTCCAGAGAAGGAGAAGGACTGAGCTGTTAAAATATTGGGGAGAATGGCTCATAAATAAGAGTGAAATCTCCCCCCCCCCACACCCCACCATCCATCCCTCTAGCGAACGAACCTCTGGAGCTGGGAAGTGTCAGAGAACAAAGGGAAAGGGGAGGAGTATTAGCCTGTAGTGGGTGACTGAGGCAGGGTCCCGTCCCCTGTGCTCTACAAGGACTGCCCTGCTGACATGGCAGGGAAAGAAGGCCCCACTGAGGGTTGCTGGGATTCAAGAGCAAAACAGAGCCTCTGCCTCTTCCCCAGGTCAAGCCCCAGGAAAAGCAAAAAGATTCCCAAAAACAAATAGCTGTGGATGTTCCCAAGTAAATAGGGCCTTAGATAGCTCCAGGGGCTTTCTTTTTTTTTTTTTTAAAGATTTTTATTTATTTATTTGAGAGAGAGAATGAGAGAGAGAGAGAGAGCACGAGATGGGGGAGGGTCAGGGGGAGAAGCAGACTCCCTGCTGAGCAGGGAGCCCGATGCGGGACTCGATCCCGGGACTCCAGGATCATGACCTGAGCCGAAGGCAGTCGCTCAACCAACTGAGCCACCAAGGCGTCCAGGGGCTTTCTAATCATGGAGAATGCCTGTATGACAGCATCTTGCAGACAGAATGGGATGAGTCAGCAGCCGTCTATGCAGATGTTCCGCCAAGGACAAAACAGGACGATGGTGGCCGCAAGGATACCAGTTGTCAGTGGTTAACACCAAGGACCAGACATGCCCTCTCCAGGACGTGGCCCCATGAAACACTGAATCTGACCCTGAAGCGAGTCAGAGAGAAACTCTGAATTCACGGGCATTGAATTTTTCGCAACCTGAAGGAAAGGGCGCTCAAAACCAACTCTAATATTGCTTCTTGTGTTTTACTATCAGATTAAATTACAGCTTTTATGGATGATTAAATTTTAGTACATTTAAAAATATATATATATCAATGGCATTGAGTGGCAGAAAATATGGTTAGATTTTCCACACTTGAGTCGTAGTCTTAAAGTCAACTACTGCACTTGATCATAGAAATGCATGACAATGACATGGAAAAGTCAGAACTAAACAAATTTATCCTTTTATCTTTCAGAAATATACATATATCAGAAGAGCTTTTTTCTTAACCTCATGCATATAACAAGTAGTTTGAGACATTTTTAAAATTTTTAAGTTATGCCTGAAAATAACCTGAAAGAAGATCCGAAGAATAGTCCGAAGTATCCATTTACCTCACAGCTAACATTGGGTTATGTCCTAAAATTCAAAGCAGGGCAACAGGCCAAGCAACAATATCAACATTCTCCTCCCAGGAAAAAACAAAAAACAATGCTGTTGACATCTTCAGATTGTTAGTAGAGAGATATAAGATTCCCTCTTATGAGTAAACAAAAAATATTTATATATATTATACCTCGTCATTCCAAAGTCCGATATTTTCACTATACTTGCAGCACTGACCAAACAATTCCTTGCTGCCTATAGAAAGAAAAGAATCCGCATTTGAATATAGTCTTTCTTTTGTTTCTACTCTTGTTTTCCTTAGTTTACTTGGGGCCCCACACTACTTCTATGAGCAGCCGTTATTTTTTTGGTAATACACATAGATGCTATGTAGGATTCAATATATCTGCCCTCATGATGGATTTTAATGATTCTTCAAATAACCAAAAAGGGTGCCTGGGTGGGCTCAGTCAGTGTGGTGGCGTCTGCCTTTGGCTCAGATCATGATCCTGGGGTCCTGGGATCGAGCCCCGTATCGGGCTCCCTACTCAGTGGGGAGTCTGCTTCTCCCTCTTCCTCTCCCCCTGGCTTGTGCTCTCTCTCGCTCACTCTCTCTCAAATAAATAAATAAAATCTTAAAAAAAAAAAAGAAAGAAAGAAAAAAGGAATAACCAAAAAAAAAAGTAAAAAGCAATTTTAATACTTTTCCCTTTAAAAGTTTTTAATCCCTCTCAACAAGTATTTTTTATAACTAGGAAGACTACATCAAAGAGACGTTAAACTATGAATCCTGGCATTAAGAACAGTGTGTATTTTTAAATAATGCAGAGACCATGTATTTGATGCCAAAATAATCCATTTTCGGAGAGCTTCATCAAAGAAAATCATTGATTTGGTTATTGAGCCTCATGTAAGTCAACAGTTTGATAGATTTTGTTCTCTTCTAAGCTGATAGGTGCTTCAGTTAGTCCCAAAACAAAAACAAGGAACTTAAAATGGTAAGCCAGAAGGAGCCAGTTTAGAAGATTTTGACAAATACTAGCAAGGATCCCCAAGCCAAACCACAAGTTAAGCCCTTGACAAGGAAAAGACTCATGCTTAGCCGATAGATTTTAAATGGCATAAAGATGAATAAAATAGAACACAAAAGAAAGCAATCAAGGAAGAAACAGGGGGATCTGAGAAAAGCCACTTGGAGCAAAGAGAATGACCAGAACCATCACCCAAGGAAGTTTTGAATTCTAACCCTGTCAGGAAAGACTGACCTGCAGAGACTAGGAAAGTAAGTTCAGTGGAATAGATATCATATTCATCCCTTCAAAAATGTGTTCCTACTACATGCTGGGGACTGGGGGACATGCCTTGAGGGAGACAGAACAGTGGTCTAAACGGCTATGGAAGGGCTATTGCTATGGGAGAGCAGAGCTGAGCTCTTCTATATGCCAAGAGCAATTGTAAGTGCTTACCCATATTAATTCATGTAATCTTCCCAACAAGCCCACAGAAGAAAGGTAGTGTAATTCATACCATGTCCTAGTTAACTAGCTTGCCCAACATCACACAGCTAGTGAGAAACAAAGGCCACATTTCAACCCAGGCTGTCCACCTCCAGAGTGGTACTTCTGAATCGTGGCTGCCCATTGAACTCCCTGGGGCATTTGGGGCAAGACAAGCGTTAATTTTTTTTCTTAGGATGTAATGTTCGGAGCATTCCAGCACAGAATGAATTAACATTTCTAGTCCTCCTCAGTGAGGAGGTAACACTACTGTGATACTGTTATAACTAAAAACACCCCCACATGGGGGCGGGGGGAGCCCCCGGAGCCTGATCTTCACCACTGTCTGTCCAGTGCCCGGCAGAGCGCTTGGCCTATACTGGCCCTTGTCACGTATTTGATTATTGGTTGAAAGGAAGAAAAGTGGAAGTAATGGCAGAAGGGAGGGAAGGCGAGAGGAAAGAAAAGTAAAATAGTTCTGGTTAGTTGATGGGCATGGTAGTTAATCAGTTGAAGGCATATTTAGAGTAATGCCTCACTTGGCTACAGCATCAGGGGGCAATTAAAAATAAAGCTGCCTTTCCCAGACAATTACAATAGGAAAGGGTTTAGAAATTAAGCCAAAGGTATTTTATTTAAAATAGTGAAAGTCCTCGGGATGCTGGGTGGCTCAGTCATTAAGCGTCTGCCTTGGGCTCAGGTCATGATCCCAGGGTCCTGGGATCGGGCCCCGCATCGGGCTCCCTGCTCCGCGGGGAGCCTGCTTCTCCCTCTGCCTCTGCCTCTCCCCCACCCCACTTGTGTTCCCTCTCTCTCTGCCTGACAAATAAATAAATAAAATCTTTAAAAAAAATAGTGAGTCCTCAATTGTCATATTCTTCTGACTATAATGCCTAGAATAATCAGCCAGCTTACATCCTACTTACTAAATCCCTATGGATGAAGCAGTTCCTCTCCAGATACTCCATCCCTTCACAGGTATCCTGGCACATGCTCAGCAGCATCTCGTTCGTAAGCGTCCCCCTTCTGTCTCTGAGATAGTTCAGCAGGCAGCCGTTCTCCATAAACTCGGTCACAATATACAGTGGCTTCTGCTGGATGCACACTCCATAGAGCTGGACCAGCCTGGGATGAGACAATCTCCTGTTCAAGAAAAAACACACACCAGTGAGCAGATTCATTTTTGCCCTTGAGAGTGCTGAGATTCAATCGGTGATATGCACCAACTCTACGTAATTGTCAACATCAAGATATGAGAAAAGCGAACCCAACCACAGAGAAAGTAGAACAGTTTCCTTTCCAGTGTACGTGCTGCATAAGTGGGGTCAGGAGTTCAAGCAGTACTCCCCAAGTCACTGCAGACGCAGAATGTTACGTAGGTTTGGTTTTTTCTGCTTTTCCTCTTGAGTTTCAGCTTTCCTAACTGAAGCTGCTCAGACAACAGTTCGAGGAGGAAACCATGATTGATGCATTAAAAAAAGAAAGAAAGAAAAATTATTAAAAAAAAAAAATAGGGCGCCTGGGTTGCTCAGTCGGTTAAGTGTCTGCCTTCGGCTCAGGTCATGATCCCAGGGTCCTGGGATCGAGTCCTGCAACAGCGAGCCTGCTTCTCCCTCTGCCTCTGCTTCCCCCTCTCTCTGTCTCTCATGAATAAATAAATAAAATCTTTAAATTTTTTTCTAAAAAGGCATTAAAAAAGAAATTTTAGGTAAAGTTGGAGACTGAAAAACACTTGCCAACTTGAAACCCTGCTCTGTATTTAGCAATCACACACACACATACACACACACAATAACACACACACACATGTCTTTGAATGTTGCCTATTAAAATACACACAGAACTCTTTAGTCCTCTAAACTTCAGAAGTTTATTGTTTCTTCTGGAGCATAGTATTCAATCCCTAAAGGCCTGTTATGCCAAGTAGGCACCATGGAAAACAAAATTCAAGATAATGTTTGTAATTTTAGAAGACGTAAAATAAGCCAACTTCTCTGCTAGTCAAAAGTAACTTGAGGGCGCCTGGGTGGCTCAGTCGGTTAAGCGACTGCTTTCGGCTCAGGTCATGATCCTGGAGTCCCGGGATCAAGTCCCGCATCGGGCTCCCTGCTTGGCAGGGAGTCTGCTTCTCCCTCTGACCCTCCCCCTCTCATGCTCTCTCTTTCTCTCATTCTCGCTCTCAAATAAATAAAATCTTAAAAAAATAAAAATAAAAATAAAAAGTAACTTGAAATGTTACCAGTTTTCATTCACAGAGGCAAAATAAAGTCAATGACTCAGGGAGATTATTTACCTTAAAATAATGTATATGAGTGATTGACATATTACCATATGATTAGCATGCAAAGCCACTACCAGGTAGTGGGAAAGAGGCGTTCAGAGGATCTCTACATGATTTTAATCTGTAGATACATATCCTGTATATGTATATTTTGTCTGATTTATCTTTCTCATTTATAAAGTGTATTTTTCAGTTAAGGGATGCCATTTATATGTATGCAGAATAACGGCAGGAAAGTCACTCTTAAAATGGAATATTGACTTGCCATGAGAAAACCACCAGGCTGAGACCCACACATAAACATCTGAGAATTCAAACATCACACTGCGTTTGCTTAGGAATATCACCAGAGCAGTGACAAGTATGTTGATGGAACTAACACAGGTGATACAACAGAAACCACGTGGGAGTCAGTCTGCTGATTAAACATGGTAGGGAAGACTTCCTGGAGGAGGTGACACTTAAACTACACACTTAACAAAAAGGAGGTAATACAGTATTACCAAGCTGTGTATGCTTGGCAGATAGAGCTCAATGTGTGTCAGCTATGCAATTTTGTAAAGATGAATGGGTTTGCAACAGGATTTCAGAAGGAAATTTTTCTGCCTCACTTTCAAAAAAATCAGGAAAAAATAGACTATGTTCAAACCATCTGAACTGACTTAAAAATAAGCCATGAGCTTCATTCCTGCCTCTGTAAACTTCCAGGAGCCATTGGTATTTCTCACACTCTGCACATCTTCCACAGTCCTCAAAATATCATCCCCAGAAACCTTGACCTGAAATGCCCAATAAGGCTTGAAGCTTTCAAGAATCCTCTTGTCATGACATTGGACATCTGTAATTCTTTCTTGTTCCATAGGAGTTTCTACGGCTTCAACTTTCCCTGAACTAAATGTCTCCCAGTCATTCTTATGATACCTATTGAATCAACACAGCAATATAATGTTGTGTCTCTCCTTTAGATGTAGGAAAACTAGGGTCCGAGGCAGGTCGTATCAGGGAATACAGACCAGACAGATATATGCCTGAGGTCACCCAGGGGCACACGATCAGCTTTGGATATCACTGGAAAATTGTGTTTATCATAACTTCCCTTGAAATTCACTTAATTGTAACTGGATGGGAAGAACATTTTGATAGGACACTTGGGGTAGGGATGAGAGCCCTCAGAGACAGCACTGCTCTGCCATTAAAGGAGAATGGGTCCAGTTAATCACTTCTGGTTTTTTGGTTGGTTTGTCTGTTTGTTTGTTCAGTTGACGTCTGACATTTAGAGCAGAACTAAATTGCTTTGGATAACAGAATCTAGGTAATGCCATCTAGGGTTTTTGTTTTTCACCACATTGCTGCTCCTGTAAGTAAGTGTTGAACAAAGACTTAAAGAAAGTCAATGGATTTGATTTGGCTTGTCCGGATCCAGCCCAGATTACAGACATAAACCACAACCACATATTCAACGGAGTCAAATGCTGATCTGGGAAATCACAGATGTGATCCCATAGGAACGGCATCCGACAGGCCACAGGAGTCACTTCTATTAGAGCTCTGGGTTCTTAAATTCTCTGAAAGCAAATACTTTATCCGTATATGACTATTTAAATAAAATCAACATTTTTTGCTTCCGGGAAAAGAAAGAAAAGAAAAAAGGAAAGGAAAGGAAAGGAAAGGAAAGGAAAGGAAAGGAAAGGAAAGGAAAGGAAAGGAAAGGAAAGGAAAGGAAAGGAAAGGAAAGGAAAAGAAAGAAAGAAAGAAAGAAAGAAAGAAAGAAAGAAAGAAAGAAAGAAAGAAAGAAAGAAAGAGAGAGAGAAAGAAAGAGAGAAAGAAAGAAAGAAAGAAAGAAAGAAAGAAAGAAAAGAAAGGAAAGAAGAAAGGAAAGGAAAGGAAAGGAAAGAAAAGGAAGGAAGAAAACCATGTAAAGAACATACATGCTTGTCACTTCCATGGATTTCTTCATGTAATTCACACACTGATGCAATGAATAAAGTATTGTTATCTCCATTTTATGAGTGAAAAAATTGAGGCTTGGAAAGGTAAAAAAACTCACCCCAGGTCACGCAGGGGTCAAGTAATTTGCCCAGGTCACACAACTAGCTTGGGCAGAGTTGTGACATAAACCCAAGTGTGACTACTCCAAAATCCATGTTCTTTCCATGACACCAGAATGTTGTATGCTGTGTATCTGGTGTTGTATGCGTATACTCACATCATCACTTTAGCCTCTTCGATGAAATCCTCTTCGGACATGGAGCCTTCGCTGATGGCCTTGATAGCTACCTGGATGTGCGCTCGCCATTCACCTAAATGGACCACCCCAAACTGACCGCTTCCAATCTCCTTTACAAAAGCCAACTCAGCAGGATCTATCTCCCACTTTTCTAGAAAAGTAAAACATCCATGTTACAAGTAGGGAAAAATTTTAGCTAGAAGAGATTCAGGAATTATCTAGACCTACTCTATTCTTTCACAAAGAGGTTAAAAATTTTATCAGTGAGGGGAGCAGAACCGTAACCATTTTTAATACTCTCATGGTCATTTACATGTGTAATTCCAGAACTCAAATTTAAACATACAAACTTGACTTGCTTGGAGAGGAATTACGGATATCAAAACACTTTCTCTTTCCAGAGAGACCCAAGTTAAAAGGCAACATTTTGCCTTTCTGAACCAAAGCTACCAAAACTATACCTGGCCCCAAGAATATGTATGTCCCCATCTATTTTTGTCCTGCTGAGTAAACTTGTGAGGCACAGAACATTTGGTCCCCCACCTCGCCCCCTATATCACTCCTCTGCTCACTCCCACCCCTAAAGGGCTTTTCTGCCTTGGTGTCTTCTCCTAGGGAAGAGTCTAACAAATTCACCTAATAAATACATGCACTGCTAGGATTCTAACTCACATATATCTAAGTGTACGTTTGAATTGAAATTTGTGTGATGGTATATTTCACTTCCATAGAAGCCAAGTGAGGAAAAAATAACTGTTTTTAAAATAACCCTCTTGAAAACACTTGGGAAGGATCCAATCTTTCCTTTCCAGTACCTCCTTTTGCATAGCAACACCGCCATCTGCTGGAACTTTAGAATAATGCAGTTAAAAGAATTGTAGAGGCTGATGACCCTTATACCAGCTTTGCAAAGTGCTCCCCCTCCCAATAGCAGGGTACGTTTTAAAAGTAACACGGGAGAATATATTTATGACTTTGATATTGGCATAAATTTATTCAACAGAATATAACCCTAAAGGAAAATATTGACAAATTACACTTCATAAAAATCCTCTTTATCAATTGCACCCGTTTAAGAGAGGGAAAAGGTAAGCCACAGATTGGGAGAAGATATCTCTAAAACATGTAACCAGTAAAGAATGCCTATTTCAGAATATGAAAAATCAACTAGAAAAAGGCAGATAACTATATTTTTAAGGGTTAAAAAACCTAAACAGAGTATCTTTCACAAAAGAGAATACGCAAATGGCCACTCAAGCTATAAAAAGTTGATCAAAATAATCAGTCATCAGGGAAATGCACATTTAAACCACGATTAGATATCACTACTACACACAGCAGATTGCCTAAAGTGAAAACCAAAGAAAAGAATACACGAGACTACTAAATATTGGCAAAGGTGTGGAGCAGCTAGAATGCCCCTACGCTATTGATTGAGGCGTAATTTGGCATAAGCTTTTTAGAAAACGAACGAAATCTGAGTGTGTACATACATACTCTATGGCCGAGCAATTCTACTTTTAAGGATATATCCAACACTGCTGGAGCTTACATGTGTACTGAACTTCATCAAAAGACATGCAAGAATGTCCATAATGATGTTATTTATGAGATAACAATTGGTTTCAACCCAACTGGCCATCTAACAGAGGATGGGTAAATCAACTGTGGTACAGTCATGCAATGTCGCACTATACCACAATGGAGATGGACCAACCACACCCAACACCACGGGTGAAGAAGGAGAAGCCAGATACAAATGCATGGTGTCTTATTCTATTTATATTAAATCGTCAAAACCAGGCAAAACTAATTGAGCTATAGAGTTATGAGTTGTGCACTGTTCTACATGTTAAAAAATTGAGTTTATTTTTAAAAAATTAAACAGGACTATGCTTAACTTAAATAAACAGCTAATGGCAGAACTTTTATTATATATATTGTATTAAGGGCAGAGTAATAACCCAGGATCCATAATACCCTGAATCATTCTCCCATCCTAATTAAAATAGAGACCCCGAGTCCTGGTTATCTGATACACTATATAATTATATGATCATTTTTTCAGTATTTTCTGTTTCTCACTAATGAGAGAAATTTAAGGGAATAAAGTGTCACCAAATTACAAAACAGAATTCTTTGGCTCTTCTTTATTCTCACAGATTTGCAAGTACACATCTGCTAGAAAATAGTTCAAATTAAACTTTCTACGGGTTGTATTTTAAAAAGGTGAAGAGGACAATCTGGGCAGCTCTTTTTAGCAGGTTCTCTTGGAGAACAGTCATTTCCCAGCCACCCTTGTACCCGGAGAGCAACAGCTCAAACAGCCAAATAAAAAGAATTATAATTTATCAAAAGAATGCCTGTGTAATGTATAATGAAATTTGAAGTAAAATTGAAACATTTCTTTCCAAAGTTCAAATTGCTCTTGTGAGATGCATAAATTTAAGTATCTCAGAAGAGAGATTTAAACTTTGAAAGGAAACCTATCTAGACATCTCAGAAAAGCTAAGAATTTAAAGAACGTAGAGAGAACGTGGAGTAGATTCTTTTCTGGATTTGATATTGTACTTGGGTGATGCGCATACATTACCATAGCTAAAACCAGCTGTGGCTGGCAAACAGCTGCCCATCAGTCCAACTGGGTAGCGGAGACGGGTCATGAGGCCTGGGGAGAGACAGAAATTGGCATTTCAAGCCTACTTACTGACATAAAAGAAAAAAAACAATGTATTAGACGACGATGCCAGTCTTCAAGTAAATTAGGTGGGAAAGTATTCTCCATTAGCCTATTTACTTATTTTCCCCATTTTTCATACAATAATATTTGCTCATGGGACACACCTTCTTAATTTTTTTTTTATTATTAACATATAATGTATTATTTGTCTCAGGGTGGAAACATATTTTAAAATCTAAGAAAATTTAAAGACAAAGTAAAGATCTCACTAAATCTTAGTAGCCAGAGATGCACTGTTATTATTCTGGTGAACACCTCTGCAAAAATCTCTGTATATGTTCATGAAAGCATATACACACCCAATATGTTTCACAGAAAAGTAAATGTCTTGCCAAAAGCTTTTCACACTCAATATGTCATTGATATATGGCAGTGACTATAAATAGAGCTGAAAGTTACTTCTAAGATGCCACTATTATGTTTTTGAACATAAATTTTTAGGTACCTCTCAAATTATTGCCTTAGGATAAATTCCAAAATGTGATTTCTTGATCAAAGCACATATAGAAAAACTGTACTAATTCATTCAACCACCAACAGTGTTTAAGTGTACTCATTTCCTGACTCCACTTTTTGAGAGTAGTTTTTTTTTTCTTTTCCTTTTTTCTTTAATAACATGGTAGCATAAATGAGACTTCTTTTGATTGGGTCAACATGTAGTATTCTGTTCCATCAATTTCAATTTAGTTCAACAAGCCTTTGTTATTTATTTCCTCGACTAATGTTTATTTGGGGCCTGCTTTGTGCCAAGCACCATCCAGATGGTGGGAGACATCAGTGAAGCAGTGAGTAAGCCAGTGATGGTCCCTGCTCCCGTAGAGCTTACAGTTTAGTGGGGGAAGAGAAAATAAACAAGTACATGCACACCCAAGAAAAAACAGAAGATGATGAGTGGTAAGCAGAGTAGATACAATACAGCTTCTATTGAGTGGGTGCTCGGGAAGGCCTCTCTGACAAGATGACAGCTATGCTGACATCAACTGATAAGGAGCCACCTTACAAAGATCAGGAGGAAGAGCATTCTGGGCAGATGGAACAGCATGTGCAAAGGCTGGAAGACAGAAAGAAACGTGGCCAGTATAAGAAGAGAAGGAAGCATCATTAAGTGCCTATTGTGTGCAAGACACTCTTCTAGGTAGATCTCAAAGATTCTGGAGGACCAAAGATGAATAAGGTGAGGACTCTGTACTCAGGGGCTCAATCTCAGTGAGGGAAGACAGGCAGAGAAAGGCAATTCCAATATATGAGGAATAAATCCTGTGCTAGAGATACACAAGATGCTCCAGGACACAGCACCTCACACATTTTTGGATTTGAAGAAGTCTTCTGAAAAGAAATGATGCCTGAGATGAATATGGCAAGTGGAGTTAAGCCATGAAGAGGATCTATGAAAAACACTCCAGGCAGAGGGAACAGCATGAGATGATACCTAGAGGTATGAAGCAGGATGGGCTACTTGACAAAAGGTGAGAGATAGAAGAGGCAAGAAATTACACTTGAGAGGTAGGTAATATTCTGGTTATGATGGGCCTTGTAAGCCATGTTAGGGAACATTACATCATGCTGCAGGTGAGAAGGAGCCATTGAAAGTTCCCAAATAAGGGAGTGGCATGGTCAGATTTACATTTTTGGTAGATCATTCTGACATCAGCATAGAGGATGGATTGAGGGGAAGTCAACATTGACGACAAGACCAGTTAAGAGGCCATTACAGTTGTCCAAGTGAACAATGATTAGAGCAGCACTAGAAGACAAAGAGAGGCAAGAACCTATATGAGACACACTTAGGATATGAAATTCATTGCACTTGATAATTAACCAGAAGTTGTAGAACAAATAGCATTAAAATTTGTATGGAATTGCAAAAGGCCCTGAATAACCAAAGCAGTCTTGAGAGAGAAAAAACAAAGCTGGAGGTATAACACTCCCTGATTTCAAACTATACTACAAAGCTATAATAATTAAAACAGTATGGTACTGGCACAAAAACAGACACATAGATCAATGGAACAGAATAGAAAGTCCAGAAATAAACCCAAGCTTATCTGGTCAATTAATCTTTGACAAAGAAGGCAAACACATACAATGGTGAAAAGATCCCCATTGATGTTCTCTTCAATAAATGGTGCTGGGAAAACTGGACAACTATATGCAAAAGAATGAAAGTGGACCACTTTTTTACACAACACACACACACACACACAAACTCAAAATGGATTAAAGACTTAAATGTAAGGGCGCCTGGGTGGCTCAGATGGTTAAGCATCTGCCTTCAGCTCAGGTCATGATCTCGGGGTCCTGGGATCGAGTCCCACATCGGGCTCCCTGCTCCTTGGGAGCCTGCTTCTCCCTCTGCCTTTCTCTCTCGCTCTGTCTCTCTCATGAATTAAAAAAAAAAAAAAAAAAGACTTAAATGTAACACTAGAAAACATCAAACTCCTAGAAGAAACCATATGTAGTAAGCTCTTGGACATCAGTCTAAGCAATATTTTTTTCATCTATCTCCTCAGGCAAGGCCAACAAAAACAAAAATAGACAAATGGGACTACATCAAACTAAAAAGTTTTTGCACAGTGAAGGAAACTATCAACAAAACAAAAAGGCAACCTACTTGAATGGGAGAAGGTATTTACAGATGCTATGACCAAAAAGGAGCTAATATCCAATATATATAAAGAATTCATACAACTCAATATCAAAAAAAGACCAAACAATCCAATTTTTAAAAAATGGGCAGAGGACCCAAATAGACATTTCCCCAAAGAAGACATACAGATGGTCAACAGACACATGAAAAGATGCTCAGCATCACTCATCATCAGGGAAATGCAAATCAAATACACAATGAGATATCACCTCACACCCGTCAGAATGGCTAGTATCAATCAGACAAGTGTCGGCGAGGATGCAGAGTAAAGAGAACCCTCGAGCACTGTTGGTGGGAATGCAAAATGGTGTGGCCACCATGGAAAACAGTGTGGAGGTTCCTCAAGAAAACTAAAAATAAAACTACCATACAATCCAGCAATTCTTCTTCTGGGTATTTCTCCAAAGAAATAAAAAACACTAATTTGAAAAGATATATGCACCCCTATGTTTATTGCAGCATTATTTAAACAGGCAAAATGCAGAAGCAACCTAAGTGTCCACTGATAGATGAATGGATAAAGAATATATGGCTGGAATAATGAAATATTCTTCAGCCATAAGAAAGAATAAAATCTTGCCATTTACAACAACATGGATGGACCTAGGTGGTATTATACTAAGTGAAAAAATCAGAGAGAGAAAGACAAATACTGTATGAATTCATTTATATGTGGAATCTAAAAAAACAAAGCAAACAAAACAAAACTGAAACATACTCATAAAAACAGAACAATCTGGTGGTTGCTAAAGTGAGTGTGGGGGGTGGTAGGATAGGCAAAATAGGGAAAGGGGATTAAAAGGTACAAATTTTTGTAGGAGACACAATGTATGGCATGTGTTAATAATATGTAACAACTTTGTATGGTGACAGATGGTAGCTAGATTTATTGTGGTGATTACTTTGTAATGTACATAAATGTTGAATCACTATGCTATATACCTAAATATACTATTGTATGGCAAATACACTTCAATAGAAGAAAGTTTTCCAGTAACCGAAGAGAAGAAGAAGAAGGAGGAGGAGGAGGGGAAGAAGAGAAGGGGGAGGGGGAGGAGGGGAAGGAGGAGGAGGGAGAAGGAAAAAAGGAAGAAAGGGAGGGAGGGGAAGGGTGGGGGAGGGGAGGGAGAGGAGACAGAGGGGGAGGAGGAGGAGGAAAGAAGTTATCCATTAACGAGAATAGAATCATCTCTTGTGACTCCTCTATGTTTCCAGCCCCTGTAATTGGCAGGATGATGACCCTATTATCTGAAATGGACAACAGGAAGAAGAGTAGGTTTGGAGAGAAAGCAGTGGTTAAGATGAAGAGTTCCATATCATCACTGAAGCTCAGGGCCTTGGGATTGCAAGTGCCTGGGACTACCAGGCAGAAGAATTCTGCAAAGGGAAATGCCTAGGGTGAGGAGAGAAGTGACTGGGGACAAATCCCTGCAGAACACCAATGTTTAAGGGAAGAGTAGAAGTAAGACCCATTGGGAAGAACTTTAAGGAATGATCTGAATTCAAGCACAAGAAAAGGCAGTGTCAAAACATCTGGAAAGCAGGGAGTTTCAAGGGGTGACATGTCAAATATAGCAGAGAGGACTTGAAAATATAAGAACTAAAAGCATGACCCTATAGGTCACTATGGGGGTCACTGGTAAAACACAGGGCAATGGAGGCAGAAGCCAGATTGCAGACACCTAAAAAGCAAATGGAAAATGGACCAAGTGGAGATAATGGATGTGGACACATTTTTCCAAAAGTGTGACTTGGAAGAGCAATGTCTAAAGGAAGAATGGACCAAGGGAGGGCTTTGTTTTTTGGCTTTTTGAATAAGAGATTCTTAAGGATGTTTGCAGGGTTAAGGGAGAAGGTAAGAAGAAATGGACTAGATATAGGAGAGGAAAGAAGAGTGGATGGTGGATGGTCCAAGCAGGAGAGGAGTGGAGGGAACAGGAGCATAGGCTCAGCCTTACCAGTACTGGAAGGAGTGAGGTGAGGATGAGAGCTTGGCAGCAGGAGGACAAGATTGAGTGAGCTCATGTCAGGGGGCTTCAGTTTTCTTAATGAAGTAGACAGCTAGAGGTTTGCTGAGAGGGCAGTGGATAATACTGGAAAAGGGGTCTTGAGGAGAATGGTAGAAGTTTGAAGAGAGAACAGGAAAGGATACTTACCAATGACTCAGAAGACCTAGTTGAGGTTAGAGCCCTCATCGAGTTGGGACTCTGTAACACATGATCCCAATAAAGAACATAACAAGGAATTTCTTTAAGACCCTAACATTGTCTTCTAATTTTCAAAGTTCTTATTTGCTAAACATTTTTATTCTGTGATTTATTTATTATTCTATGATATACTACCAGGGGTTTAATGATAGTCTATCTTTCTGACAGAAAGAAGTCTGTCACTCTCTTGGCATTGTCCTTACTTCTGGGAAAGAGATGAAGTGTCATGAACTAAATTGACCAGAAGTCAAAAAGTAGGCAAGATAGTCATGGGCTCTGATTCACAGCGTCCTCTGAAACTGGACCCTCCAAAGTACTCTCCGATGATCTGATCTGTCTCTTTCTGGAGGCTATAGCAGTCATTGAGTGCAGACGCCAGAGCCAGTGGGTTCAATGGCTCTAAATAGGTCTCAAACATTCCTCGAGTTCAAATCTCAGCACAAACACTTATTAACTGTGTAATCATGAGTACCACTCATGTCTCAGTTGCTTCATCTGTAGGATGGAGATACCAACAGCACCTACTTCATAGGATCATTCTGAAAATTAAATAAATAAATATACATAAAAGCACTCAGAACAGGGTCTGGCCCAAAGTAAGTCTTCAATAAATATCGCTATTTCTGGGTCCCCTTCCCTTCCTCTTAGCATCCTTCTTTCTTGTTATATCTTTTGTACTTTCTTTTCTCCCTAATAAATAGCAGCTATAGTTGGAAGTTTTTCTTTTTTGTTGTTGTTGTTTTGTTTGAATCAGTTTTTTCTTTTTTTTAAAGATTTTATTTATTTATTTGACAGACAGAGGGAGCAGGGGGAGCAGCAGAGGGAGAGGGAGAAGCAAGCTTGCTGCTAAGCAGGGAGCCCGACATCAGACTGGATCCCAGGACCCAAGGATCATTACCTGAGCTGAAGGCAGATGCTTAAATGACTGAGCCACCCAGGAGCCCCGGATCCAGTTTTTTCTTTTTAAAAGTGATCTTTTATGCATTATAAGAATAATTTATGTATATTGTAACAAAAGTATCAAACCCTAAGCAATCTCAACAGGCAGAAAATAAAAGCTTCCCTTACCCCCAGTGTCATTCCCCAAAAGTAAACATTAAGTTTGTAGTCTGTTATAATCTTTTCAGTTTAAAAATTCTTACCTAAACTTTAACAGAATTTTTCTATGCACTCATATGTATGTATTTTTGTTTACAAAAGTGGGACTATATTCTCATATACTGTTTTGTACTTTTTTTCTCTTTACTAAACAACTTACCACTAACATCTCTTCATGTCAGCACATCCTGATCTACCTTAGTATTTTTTTTAACCACACCAGCATAACCACTCTGTTTCTCAAATTTTTTCTAAAGGGAAGGAAAAGAGGACTATAAAGAAAAAAACTCAGAACTGATCTCCTGATTCTAAGGGTTTCTGTCTCTACACATGAATATGTCCTCTCTGGTCCCACTCAGACTCACCGCTACTTCCTCTCTAACCAAACTCCCAGAGACCATCTGGAATATCCATGTGGACTCATCCCATAAATGGATAAAAACTTCCTTGGATTTACTCTTGACATATAGACCAGTATAATGGAAAAGTGGCCACTTTCCAAAAGGATTTTTTTTTTTTGTCAACACAACTTTTCATGAGAGAAATCTAAAATAATGGCAAGAAATCAAAATAATATGAAAAGTTACAAGGGGTTCCAAATTCTATAATATTGAGGTAAGAAGATTCCCCTATGGGTTCAAGGTGGTCCAGGAGAGGTTGGGGGAGGGCTAAAGCCAGAGCTGTGACTATAATTGTGGTGGAACTTTCTGGAATCTTGTATCTTTCCATAGATAATAAGTTTGCAAAATTAGCAACTATTGCAAACAACACCTGAAGAAGGGGGTTAAATAATGCTTCTGCTTTATTTAAGTCAAATTTTAACTGCGAAAGGCTGTGTCCTATACAACTTTTTGTGTTCTCCAAACAGAAAGAACAGAGAATGAGATATTTAAGGGTAATTTTCTATACGACTGAAGTAGAGAGTAAATTTATGGGGGCATGATTATCGAGGGCACTTGAAATGCCATTACACTTAGCCCTATGTAAATTTCAAGAACAAATGCATTGATGATTACATTGCCTTTTGCTTCTCTGCCAGCTATCATTTTTCCTAACCTGGCAGAAATGTAAAAAATCAACCTACCTCTTTCCCTTGACTAGAAAAACAAAGAAGCATCAATGAGGAGAAATGTTCAAAACACAAGTTGTATTTCAGGCTCTTACAGATCTCTGCAGGGGTATTTGCTCCTGTTAAAGTGTCTGAGACCAAAGATGCATTGCCTGTCTGGGGCCAGGCTCCCTGACTCTCCCAGCCTGAAGCTCCTGCCTTACCTGCCGCATTGTGCTGGTGATACCAGATCAAGTCAGGGATTGATTGAAAGAGGTGTCTTTCAGCCACGTACCACTGTCCTGAGTCATTCTTTTTAATCTGATAATGTTTGATGGTAGCCTCCATATTTCTACAATCAATAGAATGTGAATTAGTAAAAAAGCAAAAGATCACTTTGGAACTAAGTCAATTCGTGAAGCGACAGGACTCCACCTCTAAAACTTTTTTTTTTTTAAGATTTTATTTATTTATTTGACAGAGAGAGAGAACACAAGCGGGGGAGTGAGAGAGGGAGAGGCAGGCCTCCCGCCGAGCAGGGAGCCCGATGCGGGGCTCGATCCCAGGACCCCGGGACCATGACCTGAGCCGAAGGCAGACGCTTAACGACTGAGCCACCCAGGCGCCCCTTATTTTATTTTTTTTAAAGATTTTACTTGTCAGAGAGAGAGAGAGAGCACAAGCAGGGGAAGTGGCAGGCAGAGGGAGAAACAGGCTCCCCACTGAGCAAGGAGCCCAATGTGGGATTTGATCCCAGGACCGTGGGATCATGACCTGAGCTGAAGGCAGACACCTAACTGACTGAGCCACCCAGGCGCCCCAAATCAACTATAATTTTACTTTATTTTTTTTAAAGATTTTATTTATTTATTTGACAGAGAGAGAGAACACAAGCGGGGGAGTGGGAGAGGGAGAGGCAGGCTCCCCCTGAGCAAGGAACCCGATGCGGGACTCGATCCCAGGACCCCGGGACCGTGACCTGAGCCGAAGGCAGTTGCCTACCGACTGAGCCACCCAGGCGCCCGCCACCTCTAAAACTTTTATCCTAGTGACACTATGCACTGCAGAGTGGGTTACATTCAACTGGTGCCTCAGCATGCCTGGGTAAATTCCTGAGCCATCTATTGGGTCCTTAGATTCGAACATAACTTCAGCCAAAGTTGTCTAGTTGACAACTCCAGTGTCCAAAATCGTAGAGCCCGTTAGGGACACTTATAAGTATTTAGTTATCAGTTCAATGAGTGAATAAATGCACTGCGAGGGATATAAGGAGATATGAAACAAAGAAAGGAGGAAAACTGATAGAGAGTATACTGATGAGCAGGTCTGCTATAGCCACTGGGGCTCTAGGCAGCCTCGAGAGACTGTGGAGCACGTCTGAGAATTGTCCCACCAAAGTGCAAAGGAGCTGAGGGGCCAATCTTCCATTCCTCCCTGAAGGAGGGTTGCTCCTAGGATGTTAACTCTCAGGCACCTCCAGTCTACCCATGGGGACCCCGAGTTCCCACAGCCAGAGAACGTCCTCCAGCAGAAAGGCACAGGACGCTTTCTGAGTGCAGGAGAATGCTCTGCAGGTAAACCCCAAGGGATATGCGGAAAGGACCACCATTGTCTGCTACCACTAAGCCAACTTCCTCATGGTTGAGAAAAGGAGACGAGAGGGAGAAGTCCCTTAACTTACCAAAGTCACACACAGAGCTTGTTAGGAATACAACTTGAATCGATCAGTTGTACTAACTTCCAGGCCAGCAATCTTCTGTGCTAAGACCTCTCTTTCTCCATGTGACAGTGTCTCACTAAGAAAGGCTGTCCCAAGAACCGTTACCTCTAAAGTGATCAAAATCACAATTGCTTACCTTCTAGCTTTTATAAACACAGAAATTGTGTAGGATCCCAAATGTCTTGAATCTCTGACAATAAATGCACCTTCTTTAGACTGCAAAACAATTCATTGTACAGATTTAGTCGTTATTAGGAAGAAAGACAAACCTACATCTCAGGAATGAAAACCAAACCATACTGACTTACTACAAGTGGATAAGATTGTTTTCACAAATACATGCAATCTTATCTCCCTTATACGTTAAGAAGTCACACCTACAAAAATATTTAATTGGGACAAGAATTTATAATGTATGAGTATTTTTAAAACCTTGGTCCCGATTTTTCTAAGAAAAATTCTGCACTTGACAACCTTGTACCCCACCATTTCATTATTTTTGTTATATCAATCAAGGTAATTGATACACATTGCTGATGAACAGGAAGCGCTGTGAGACAGATTGGCAGGTTGTATTTTGGAAGAAAAGAAACAACACAGCAGGTGGGGTGAGGGAGGCAGCAAGAAATACATCTGGAAAAGCAGGGAGGGAGTGGGGAAAAGGGAGCAGAATCCATGACAGGGATGGAGAGAGGATAAGCTTTGAGGGAGTCTGGAGAGAAGAGCGGAGGAGTGATTTTAGTTGCCACCAGGGCATGGGAGAGACAAGAAGAGAACGGGCAGGAGAGAAGAGTATTTTAAGTTTGATGTTAGGTTATAAATTGGATTCCCACTGACATCCTCTGGGAACCCCCAATAAAGCTGTAAATTGTTTTCAAATGACTTGGAATGTTGGACTGTTTGGTTTGTGTTGTTTGTTTGATATCATAAAAAAAAGTTTCCACCTTTACTTAGTATGTTTACACTTGTGGAGAGGGAACCATCTCAGAAGCTTGCCAAACGTGTGAAAGTTTACACTTTCGAAGTGCCAACAACTTGCCTGAGAATTGCCCTAACCCAACAAACACCATGGTGTAACCCTCAAAGTGAGCACGATACATCAAGCAAAGCCTTCTCTTCCTTCTAGATGCTTACCAAGGAACAAGCCTCATTTTCTGGTCAAACTTTTAAACCAAAAAATCTCTTACAGCCACTTAAAATAATAAAAATGTAGCTTTTATTGAATTCCTACCATGTCCATGGACTAGGTTACAAACCACAGAGGACAGAAGGTATAAAAGATGGAGATGTAAAAAGCAAAGTTGTACATACAGTGGCTACATAGGTAGTATATATACACAGACATAGAGATGCTATGCATTCAGTCAAGTTGTCTAAGTAGTGACCTCCTCTTCAAGGTGGAAAGAGTGCAAACAGTCATGACCACAAAGCAATAAAAGTAGAAATTAATAACAAGCCCCAAAGGAGAAAGCTACTACTGCATGGATATTTTCAAGTTCTCTTTTATATAACTCAAGGAAATTCAAATAAAAATGAAAACATCTAGAAAATAATAAAGAAATGCCACATATCGGAAACTCTGCTATATAGTTCAAGCAGTACTCAGTCTTCATGCTTACATCAATAAACAAAAGAAATACAAAATAAATGTATCTACCTCAAGAAGTTAGGGCAAGAACCAGGTCAAGTGGAAGAAAGAAATGAAGACAAAAGCAGAAAACAATCAGTTATAAAAACAAAAATATAATAAAGCTAGTCATTAAGTTCAAAATCTGGTTATAGAGGGAAAAACAATGAAATAGGTAAGTTGCTAACCAATCTAACCAATAAGAGGGGAAATATATCAAAAAAAATAAGCCACAAAGATCCAGAAAAAAAATGAGAGCATCACCTTGACTCTACACAATACATTTGAAAATTTGAATGAAATGAGTGATTACCTAGCAAAACATAAAATTTATCAAAATTGATTCCAGAAGATCTGGAAATGTTAATGGACCTACTGAATGGGAAAATGGATAAGGCTTTAAAAGAGCTACAACATTAAAAACACCACGGAGGACATATTGTGATGCTGCATGATTCCAGAGCATGTGAAAAGAAGAAAAACTTATAAATTTTTATATAAAGTGGGTTTAATATCAACACCAACAACACAGCAAAGATTGTGCACAAATCTCACTCATGTCCACTCAAAAATCCTAATTAAATATTAACAAACTGAATCCAGTAGCACAGTGGAAGAATAATATACCATGACCAAGAAGGATTGCATACAGGAATGAAAAAGTAATTCAATATTAGGGATTTTATTAATTCATCCTACTAACAGATCTGAGAAGAAAAATCTCATGAACATCGCCATAGATATTGAAAGGGCATTTGACAAATTTCAACTTCTAGAATCAGTTTTCTTTAAATTCTCAGTAAAATAGTAATAAATATGTACTTCTGTAACACAATAGTCCATGTTTACGTTAGTCCCAAGTCCAGCATTATGTTTTCTGTGGAATCATTCCAACTAAAATCAGGAAAAAGAAATGCCCACTGTCAGCACTGGTATTTAATATTGTTCTGAGATGCCAGCTAATGCAATTAAATGAGAGGCCAAAAAAAAAAAAAGAAAGAAAGAAAGAAAAGAAACCAAAACAAAACAAAAAACCCACCAAGAAATACTCTATTAAATTATAAAAAGGAGCTGAAATCATCACTGTTTGCTATTGATAAGAGTCTACCTGAAACTCATGAGAATCAACTAAAAAACTACTACCAAAAAAAGTTTTGAATTCACCAAGTCTTCTGTTACAAAATTAATTCACAGAACTCAAGAGCTTTCATAAGTAAAAAAAAAAAAAAAAAAAAAAAAAATACCCATTTATAGTAGCAACAGAAAAATACACAAACAAATGTGCAAGAGCTATATGAAGAAAACTTTAAAATGATCCTAAAGGGGCTCCTGGATGGCACAATCATTTGGGCGACCGACTCTTGGTTTCTGCTCAGGTCATGATCTCAGAGTCTTGAGATCAAGCCCCGCGCTGGGCTCTGCACTCAGCCTAGAGTCTGCTTGGAATTTTTCTCTCCCTCTCCTTCTGCCCCCTGCCACACCGTGCACATGCTTTCTCTCTCTCTCTCTCTCTCTCTCTCTCTCTCTCAAATAAATAAATAAATCTTTAAAAATAAATCAGTAAAATGCTCCTAAAGAATATAAAGATGTTTGCTTTTCTCATTAGGTTTTCAATCCATCGAAGATTTATTTTTGCTTGAAGTAGGGACCTAATTTTAATTTTTTCTACAGGAATAATTAATATGGGTCCCAGAACAAACTGGTCCCCAAACCCCACTGATTTGTAATGCCCAAACAATTTTCCCTAAATTACTCTGTAAATTTAATACACCAGCAGGCAGCTTTTTAAAACTAGGCAAAATAATTGTGAAGTTCACATGTATAAAATGTATCTCCAGAGTATTTCTGGAAAAAAATAATGAGGGAGGCTAGCCACACAAAGAGAGCCTCAGTATTTGAAATATTATAAAGGTATCACCTAAATACACAGGCTGATCAATAAAACCAAGTAGTGAGTTCAGATGTAGTCCAACATAGGAGCCGTGCTTATGATGAAAGTGGTACCTCGAATCAATACAGAAAAGATAGACACTTGGTAACTATCTAGAAAAAATAAAATAAAATCAGATCCATACCTCACTCCACATCAGGAATAATTACAAATGAATCAAACATGTCTATGTAAAAAATAAAACCACTGAAGTAATCAAGAAACATGGGCATTTTTTTTTAAAGCTCAGAGCGGGTAAGATAATTCGAACCTGACACAAAGCTTTAAAAAATTTGTCTGATAAATTTGAACACATAAAATTTAAGCACTATTCATGGCAAAAAAAAAAAATATGACAGTTGAAAAACTGGGGAAAGTATTGCCACATATCACAAAGAGCTAATTTCCTTAATGTAGCTACATAGGTCCCACGAACTGTGAGGAAAGCATTAAAAAAAAGCAACAACAGAAAATTTTGCAAAGGATATGAACAGACATCTTACAGAAAAGGAGATACAAATATTTAAAATTTCATATACACAGAGATGCTTAACATTTTTGGGATAGGAGAAATGTAAATGAAACCCACACTGAGATGAGATGTCAGAGAGCAAAGTGCCACACATTTCATTAAACATTTGCTGGAAAGGTTGTGAGAAAATGGGCACTCTTACAACTTTTAGCAGGTATGTAAATTGTACAACTCCTGTAGAGGGTATTTAATACCTCCCCAAATTAGAAATGTACATTCCCTTTGACCCAGAATTTCTATCTTGGGGGATTTATCCTACATATATACTCACATAAATGGGAAAAGCTATGTAGGTAGGTTACCTATAGCAGCACTGTTTTGTTTTGTTTTGTTAAGACTTTTATTTATTTCTTAGAGAGAGAGACACAGTGAGAGAGGGAACACAAGCAGCGGGGGTGGGAGAGGGAGAAGCAGGCTTCCCGCAGAGCAGGGAGCCGGATGCGGGGCTCGATCCCAGGACCCCAGGATCATGACCTGAGCCAAAGGCAGACGCTCAACAACTGAGCCACCCAGGCGCCCCAACAGCACTGTTTCAATAGCAAAAGAGTGTATACCACTTAAATTCCCATTAAATTTTTTTAAAGATTTTATTTATTTATTTTAGAGAGAGCACAAGCAGGGGGAGGGCAAGAGGAGGAGGGAGAGAGAATCCTAAGCAGACTCTGGGCCAAGCGCAGAGTCCCACGCAGGCAATCCCACAACCCCGAGGTCACAACCAATCCAAAACCACGAGTCCAGTGCTCCACCCCTCCATTAAATTTCCTAAATAAAGTGTGATATGTCCAATGCAAGAAATACTATGCAGCTGTAGAATGAATGAGGACACTTTCTGTGTATTGATGTGAAAAGTTTCCTTCCCAATACATATTGCTGAGTGAAAAAAGTAATGCACACAAGAGTATATATAATATGTTACCATTTGTGTAAAAATAACAATATAAGAAAATATATTTCTAGTTGTTTGTGTATGTATTAAATATCTCTGAAAGGACACAAAATAAACTAATAATAGAAGTTTGTCTATGGGGAAGGGAACTGGTATCTTGGGGACAAGGATGGGAGAAAACTTCAAAATCTTTTGATTTTTAAACTATATGAACATGCCATTGAAATGTGAAATAAATAAAATTATAAAATACTTCTATAAAAATTTATGCAATCAATTTGAAAATAAATATAAAGTAGGCAACTCTCCACGTAAATATAAATTGTCAAACATCTCAAGAAGAAAAGGAAATTAAATCAATACTCAATTATCTGTTTGAAAAAGCTGCATGTCCAAACTATTTTATGAGAGATATATGTAACTTCAAGGAGCAAATAACTTCTATTCAATATAAACTATTTTAAAGATTGGAAAGAGACAAAACCTCATGTCCCAACTCATTTTATGAGGCTAGTACAGCCTTTATACTAAAACTAAACAAAGAGAGTGGGAAATTAGAAGCCAGGCCTCTTGTGAACATAGCAGGACAAATGCTAACTAAAGTATTAGGAAACTCAAACTAGCAATATATATGTTTTAAATGCCTCATGATCAAGTAGGATTTAATCCAGGTACTTAAAAAAAATAGAAAATATATAAATTACAAAAATATTTTTAGATATATAGGAAAAATATGTATATTTTAAAAAATATCCACACACATAACATACACACACACACACACACTTTAGACAGATTAGGACCTAAATATGAAAAGCAAATCTTTAAACCATTTAAAAGAAAATATCATTTTATCACTTCAGGAGAGAGAAGAATTTATTATACTGAAAAAGGAAAAAAGATCATAAAAATTGAGAAATTTGACATTAACATATTTTAAAATTTAAAATAAGAAAAGAGCATAAAAAAATTTTAGGGCCAAAAATCAAAAGAACATAGTGAAAAATGAGCAAAGGGTATTAGCAGACATGTAACAGCAGAGGAAGCCCAAATAGCCAGCACACACATGAAAAGTCACTCAATTGAACTGTTCATCAAGGAAATGCACATTTTAAAATATATATACCATTTCTCAGTGAATCAAAGAAAAGCTACCAACTGTTGGCAAGAACGTAGGGGACCAGTTTTCTCATTCCTTGTAAGAATATAAATTAGTACAAGTACTTTGAGTCATGATTTCAAAATATCTAGTAATGCTAAGTCTGCACATAGTTTCTGACCAGATCATTTCTGGGTATAACCGAAAGAAACCCTTGCCCTTGTGTACAAGGTGACATGTGCATGGAAGTTCTTGGCAGCATTGTTCATACTACTAAGAAGTTAGAAACAACGTGAATGATTAGTAATACATTTGTTATCCTCATCTAATGAAATACAGCAGTTAAAGGAATGTGTTTGCTCTTTATGTATCCATGGGAATGAAACTGAAATACAATGTTTCATTAAAAATCAACATACCTATGATCTCCCTTATGTCAAATGTTAAAACACGTAACACTGTGGGCTGTTCATGCACCAATAGATGATAAAAATATAAGCACATGGATGCAGTGGGGGCACACCCTTCTAAGGTGATTGTCTCTGGAGAGTGGGCGGAGACAAAACAGATGAGGGAAGGGATGGGTGTCAATTGCATCTGCCAGGTTTTATTTTGTCTGAGCATGTTATGGCCAAATGTTGCTATTTGTGCCAAATGTTGCTATTTGTGCTGTCTGGGTTATGGGTGTGTGGAGGTTTGTTGCATAACTCCCTCATCTAGTCTTTGTAGGGAGGTCAGCCCCCGGCTCTGTTCTGGCTCCCTGGCAGGCGCAAGAGTCTCTCCTGCTGATCCCGCACAGCCCCTGTGATTTTGACCCTATCACCCTATTCTTTCAAAATAAATGAGAGAGGGTAACTTGCTTACCGTGGACCGACTTGAGAATTTTCCTTCTCCAGTTCTGCCTACTTGTCATAACATCTTTGTCCATTCTAGACCTACTAATAGCACTTTACAGGAGGCCACCTGCTGTCACCATGCCCGGTGGGTCCCACATTTGCTGCCGCGTCCCATTTCCTCCTAGCCAGTGAAGCCAAGCCTGGCCTCCAACCTCCTTCCCCACCCCCAGCTGAGCCTGGGTCTGGGTCGCTCAAACTCTGTCTAACCCCCCTGCTATCCACCGGACCTCCCTTCTGTCTTGCGTCCTTACTGGTATTGACTTTGTAGTTCCAGAACTGACTCTTTCTCACTCATATTTCTAGATTTCCTCAACATCTGACAGCAGGGCAAAGTGACACACATACCTCTTACCTAGTTTCTAGGTTTGACTCTACATTTACCCACAGTTCGTATTTACCGTCCGTTGGAAACTGTATGCACTTTTGTTTTGCTTTGACCTAAAAGAGCAGTTTTGATCTGAGTTTGATATTTTGGCTACCTCACTCTTCCTTTTGTTCCCAAAGAACAAAGAAAATGTAGCACTTGGTATTTTTCTCTATTTGTGTTTTTAAGAAGCCTTAGCTAAGCTCATGAAGACAGAGTATATATTTTATTGTATGTGATGCAAAGGTGTATGGGCAATTCCAATATAGACTCTACTGCGGGATGCACTTTGGAGTGAATGAGGAGTTTCAGTACGTTGGAGTTGAAATCATTTCAGGAAAAATACACTTCTCAAATTACAATGAAAGTCAATGAAAAACATGAGCTGATACAAATACATCTGGTTTACAACTTATCGGAAATTGCACAGTAGAGATAAAGTTGTAATAATATTTTAGAACTGAAAAGAACAGGAAGTAATAAAACTTTTAAGTTTGGTCAAATCTTTACAATGAACATCTGTTAGAAATTTTGAAAATATTCACAAGTTATTCATGAATAAAGTGAGTTACCTCTTGTCTCAAAATACGTTCTGCCTGATTTCTGGTAATGTTTCTATGGTACCACCTGTAAAAGCAATAAAAATAATTTTAAAATTTTATATTCTATTTTTTCCAGAAAAAAAAAAAAACCTGCTTCATTTCCTTCATTTTTAGGAACTTTACTCCAGAACTGATTTTAGAAAGCTGAGCGTTTTTTATTTCCGATAAACAACAATGTACTATTATGTGTCATTTAGTATAACAGTTTTATTAATTGTAAGCCGATACCTAGTTTATTCTATCATATCTCAATTCAACTTTCTGACAGATACTTAGTTTGTGATTTTGAGTGATTTAATCTCCTGAAAATTTTCATGAAACGTATGTGGTTAATAAGTCAATGAACATTTACTGAGCTTTGGTAGACAAACTAAAAAATACCCGTTTCTTTCTTTGCTCTTGGGAACTTCCTATTTGCCTGCTTTCATCTGTGCCATATTACCTTTCCAAAATTAAAACGTACTCTGGCCCATCTGACTCCCCCAAGTATGTTAACCTGTAGTAAAGTTAGTGGTTTAATAATGTAAATGGAGCAACTAGTACCTGCCTTGCTCCAAACACCCTCTCGTCTTTCTGCTTGTTCTCCCCTCATGCTAAGCTTCGGCCATATTGGGATTCTTTCCTTCCTCAAATTCACCAAGCCCCTTTCTGCCTCCTATCTTGCTGTTTCCTCCGTATGAAACATATCCTGAAACGACTTTAGAATATCAGATCCTCTCACAGTAAACACAATTAAATGAGTATAATTGAAACCCATAGTTTGGCAGAACAAGACCTAGTCAGTAAGCAAATGTTGTACAGGAAAGAGAGAGGAAATGGTAGAACAAAGGAGAGAAAACAAATGGAAAAGTTCTTGTTTCAAAATAAGATTTTAAAAAGGAGTTAAGGGAATATTACCAGAAATGCTATTTTTGTGGACAGTGGAAAGAAGAATGCATGTATAACCATACACTGAGTCACAGTGGGTAGGCCAAATGGTGGCTACATGAAAATCCTCTATCTGACTTTGAGGACAGAATCTATCGTATCTTGTGGACTAACCTGCAGTAGTAAAAAGCTGCCACTAAAGTAGAATGGTCACATATTAAAAATGCTAATGGCCTCAAGTTGAAAATGAACTTTTAAAAAGATAAAGCATAGAGAAGAGAGGATGATTACAGGTGATTCTAGATGAAACCATTGGACTACTTATCACTAGTGGGAACAGGAGTTAATTGTGATGTTGGACTGTGAATATCATTCAGCACTTTTTAACGAATATTCATATTGGGGGAGGGACTTTCAGAATGAGTCTAAGACCTCTTGTTGTAGAAAGAAGAAATTCTTTCAAAATAAATGAGAGAGGGTAAGCATCTGCCTTGGGCTCAGGTCATGATCCCGGGGTCCTGGGATGGAGTCCTGCAGTGGGCTGTCTGCTCAGTGGGGAGTCTGCTTCTTCCTCTCCCTCTATCCCTCCCCCCACTCACCCAAGAGTGCACGCATACACTCTCTCTGTCTCAAATAAAATCTTTTTTTAAAAAGTTCACATAAATTGTTTTATTCTAAATGTTTCTCACCTATAATCACATTAAGTGTTCATTTTGTTGTTTTGTACTTATTTATTATGGTGATAAGTAATATAAGCAAATATATTAATTTTGCTTAAATATAAGTTAAAAATCCATCCATGTGTGGATGTCATTAAAATGACTTCAAAGTAGTAAGAGAAGAACCAGAGACAAGTATATGATGAATTTCATATCCTTTAAAATAATGCAGAATTTCAACAGGCAGAAAAAAGAATAGATGGATATGATATAGGTGAGGTGAGGGGGCATGCTGTTTCAGAATTTCATCTGGTTAAATCAGATAGTCAAGAAGAATTTTGTGTTTTGTTTTGTTTTTAAATAGGTAATGCTGCAACTCTTATGCCTGGACAACACTGATTATAAAACTCATACTGAATGATGTGGACAGAGGGCTTAGGGTGGGGCTTCTACTGGCATATGAAAACCATCTAGTATGTCCAACTGTTACCAAGTACAAACGTCTTGTGTACATGTAAGCCTTGGGTACACCTGTCCCAGTCTTAGAATCAACAAGTAACAGTATTGTGGTCTTGAGTTTTCAACCTAGAAACCCTGTTAGATCTAAGATGGTAAATCTGCTTCTCTTAGTCATTTTCTAACCCTAAGAAGATGAAACTTTCAACAGAGAGAAAATGCAATAAATGAAACTCATACTTCCGTAAAATTCAGCATAAGCAATATGTTTGATATTTTAAGTATCTATTATTGGGGCACCTGGATGGCTCGGTCAGTTAAGCAACTGCCTTCAGCTTAGGTCATGATTTCAGGGTCCTGGGATGGAAACCCACATCGGGCTCCCTGCTCGGCGGGGAGTCTGCTTCTTCCTCTCCCTCTGCCCCTCCCCCCACTTGTGCTCACTCTCAAATAAATAAATAAAGTCTTTAAAAAATAAAATAAAGTATTATTTTAAGAGAATCGGACATATTAAGTTTTAGCCTCTGATTTTAAACGCAAATTTAATTTTAAACTTACAATTTGAAGTTTAAGGGAATTTGACTTTTTAAATGTTTGTATGGTTACGAGAATTTGGCTTATCACATTTAAGTTTGATTTATTAGATTTCTGAGATCATATATGGACTTACAAAGGGCTATTGAAATTGTAAATTCGCCCTGTCAGGCATATAAAATATTTAAACAGAAAATTGAATTCATTCAGTTTATTAATGCAAGTGAAATGTTTTGGGAAATTTAATTAACTGAGCTTATAAATAGGACTGATTGTTTAAGGATACTGTTGAGTTTGAATTAAGGTGACTGTTCTTTTTTTTTTAGATTTATAAACAGTATATCAAGATTTGAAGGCTTACTGAAAACCAGGTTTTCACACTGTACTGTTGATAATTTGGATATTAATTTAAAACCAAAGTAGCCATAAATATTTCAAAGTATAAAGTTTCCCCTGAGATGTCAGAAGCCTACACTAACATAGCATTCCTTCCCCCATCCACCCCTACTTCCTTTAGACCTCAAGTCACTTCCTCAGAGGTCTTCCCTATCCCAATATCCTCATCTTTTAGCCTTCTCCATTGATTTCTCCCAGTGTCCCATACTGTTCCTTCATGACACCACAGTTTAAAAAAAAATTTTTTTTAAGATTTTACTTATTTATTTGACAGAGAGAGAGAGAGCACAAGTAGGGGGGCAGCAACAGAGAGAGAGGAAGAAGCAGACCCCCCGCTGAGCAAGGAGCCCCATGCAGGACTCCATCCCAGAACCCTGGGATCATGACCTGAGCCACCCAGGCACCCCCACAATTTAAAATTTTATATTTATTTGTGAATTTGAGGTTTATGTCTCTTTTCCCATGAAGCTGTAGGTTCCACAAAAGAAGGGAGTGCATCTACGTGTTATAGGTTGTATCTCCAGTGCCCACAACAGCTAACACCCGGCACATCATAAGTGGACAATAAGTAAAGATTGAACAGATGAGTGATTCAGGGGCTGAGGTAACTATGAAATGTGGTACCTCTGTAACAGCAGGCAAACTGGGAATGCCCTTCCTGTTAGCTTCACAGTTCTAGAATGTATCAAATATTTACTAGGTCCTACATGAGACAGGTATCACAGTTCCAAGTTTTCATATCATTTAGAGTTTTATAACTATTCAGTAATTCTGCCCAGAGCCCAGGCACTAGTCAGTGGTGATGTCAGGCTTTGAACCCAGATTTCTCCGATTTCTAAGCTTATACTATAGTATTTCAACCTAGGGCCATAATTTCTACACAGTCATTAGAACGATGTTTGGCATATAGTAAGTGGTGGATCTATTTTAGTGATTTATATTGATAATTTTATATCTATATTTTAACAAACCCCTTTAAAAAGAAACAGAAATAAAAATTAATTTTCCCACAATTAGAAAATTAACGAAGATAACTTTCAAAGACACATAAATCAAAGCCAAGAAAATGAGATGATTATTTTAAGTTCAGGGTAGTTTAATTCAAATTACCCAATATCTACAGTATGAACAAGCTGTTAAGGGCAGACTCCAACCCTCGTCTAAACTAAGGGGGTGGCCAGCAAATTAATTAATAATGAAAGGAAGGAAAGTCACACTGTTGCTTAGTGAGCATCCATTTACTCACTCCCGGGCACTGTGTTAGGTACTTTCACACATACCTCCTTTAATCTCCTGGAAAGTCTGAACTGGGTTTACGATATGGAAAAAAGTATTTTTTTTTTAAAGATTTTATTTATTTATTTGACAGAGAGAGGCAGTGAGAGAGGGAACACAAGCAGGGGGAGTGGGAGAGGGAGAAGCAGGCTTCCCGCTGAGCAGGGAGCGATGCGGGGCTCATCCCAGGACTCCGGGATCATGACCTGAGCCGAAGGCAGACGCTTAACGACTGAGCCACCCAGGTGCCCCGAAAAAAGTCTTTCTCTTAACAGGAGATTTTCACACAGAACTTCCCCTGACCTGACCTTCAAAAGAGACCTATTGTGCTGGGCAGCTCCAGTTGGGGGCAGTGGCGAGCCCCCCAAGGTGAGGGTAGGGAGTTGTGAAACTGTTTTCTTAGGATGGTGTGTTCAGTCACCTAGGGCCTTTGTCCTACTGAGTGGAGGCTAGATTTTGGGGGCAGAGCTAAATGACTCCGGTCAAGAGAGGGGGCATGACAAGCTGAGTGAAGGACAGAGAAGACAGAAGAGACCTGTGATGGTACTAAGCGGGGAGAGGGGAGAGAGAACAGAAGTAGCTGATAGAGAAGCCTGGTAAAGTCATGTGGATGTGTCATGTGTCCTGTAGTCATCCCTTGTCCCCTCCAAGAAAGTCTACATTATTCACCAATGCTTTTATTTATTTTTTTAAAGGAATTATCTTATTATTATTATTTTTTTAAAGATTTTATTTATTTATTTGACAGAGAGAGACAAAGTGAGAGAGGGAACACAAGCAGGGGGAGTGGGAGAGGGAGAAGCAGACTCCCCACTGAGCAGGGAGCCCAATGTGGGACTCGCTCCCAGGACCCTGGGATCATGACCTGAGCTGAAGGCAGTCGCTTAACCAAGTGAGCCACCCAAGCGACCCCCACCAATACTTTTAGAATTGGATTGGCTTTAGGGAGAGAGATGCTGAGTCTGGCCTCCACGTGGGCTTAAATTAGTAGCAAGGCAGACACCTAGGGGCTGGGAGGGAGGGGTTCGTTCTCATTCAATTTATATTTGCCTTCTGGTTCTCTGAGAGGCACCTGTCTTCATGCCTCAACCCACGTCACCTACCGCCACAAGGCTGGAAGCATATGCTAATTGCAAAGCGAGTATCTAAACCGGGGGAGGGCAGTCAAGTGCTAAAACTTAGGCAAACCTGAATTTATAAAAGACTAGGACTACTCCCAGTTCTGCCACTCTCTGCTTGTAAATTACTCTCACAACCTTAGTTTCTGATCTGCGGAATGGGGGGGCTAGAAAAGTGATTGCCAAGATCTCCATCTTCCAAATCTATCATTGTAACAAAAATAAGTTTCTAAGCAGAACCTTAGTGAACACGCCAAAAGTTCCCCCCAAACTACAGCATTAGCCTGCTTCTCCTCTTTAGCTATTTCTAAAATGTTTCAAAACATGAGCCAAAATATAGTTGTGTGTCTCTGTGTTAGGCTCAATTTACCACTCATTAAAAAACTAAGGTCATTTTTGAAATAGTTATTTTTCCATTTAGGACATAGAGTAAAACAAGACCAAGATGAGTGTTTGGTTTCCATGCAGTCACTGTTAAAACAAACCCAAGAAAGTCGTCATACAAAACAAAACAAAAAGAAGTTTAAGAAAAAGAAGTTTCTGAATCAACCATTATAAGGATCAAAGATGTCTCAAACTAAAGCAGCCAGATGTGTTACTTTCTTTTCCTTTTGTAGACCAAAACCAGCTTCTATACTCGTAAGCTGCCCAAATGTACCTGATTTTTCATAGATCAACCATAGAGCATATTTTGGAGGAGACTTACTCATATATTTCTAAATTGGTTAGTTTGTTCTCGGTCACATAGTTGCTTGGGATTAAGCCTTCATTCCTACAACAAAAGACAAAGCCAAAATCAAAATGCTTGGTACATCTGTGGCATTACCGTGACAACAATCCTTTTTAAAACCTCAAGGACATAGGAGGAAATCAAACTCGTTTTACTGATTAAATTCTAAAAGAAGAAAAAGGATTTTTCATTTCCATATTCAACTAAAATCTCTGTTTGACAAATACTAAATGACTTACAATGGAAGTAATTTAAGATGTTTCGTGACACCAAAATTTTTCAAAGAGGGAAAGCGGCACTTACGAGATCATTGGGATGTCATAGTGACTAGATTAAAAACACAGCAACAACAAAGATATCAACTTAATTCTTTTGAATTGCTGTAAAATAGATAGAATAGATATTCTGGTTTAGCCATGTCCCTATTATAGCAAATGCTGCACAGAAACACATGAACATGCCTTCTTGTGCACCAGGAAAAGTAATTCTCTAAGACAGATACCAAACGGGGAAATTGCTGGGTCACCAAATATGTGCATCTCCCCTTAGATGCAGCAAATTGCCATTGAAGGAAAACATACAAATTTGCATACCCATCAGCAGGGTAAGGGTTTCTCTTTTTCTATACCTTCACCAATGAAATTTGAAATTATAAAATTGCAAAAAGATCTCCATGACATTTTTGAAAAATCCAAGCAAGTTGCAGAACAACGCATAAAGCATGGTAAGAATTAGGTAAACTAAATCTGCAAATAAGAATTTGTATTTCAATATGGACATAAAAGTGCATTGAAAATTTTCCAGAAGGGTACTCACTAAGTGAATAATGGTGCTTGGGTTTGGAGGCATTATTTATCACGGTTGCATATTATAAAAAGCGATATTCACTTATTAACTTTGAAATTAAAAGGTAATTCGTCTTTTTTTAAAGTCTGAGTCATGCCAATGCCAACCTGCAGGAGGGCTAATTACATGGTCCTGAACTTACTCATACCTCTTTTCCCACTGAAAAGTCTCCATCACATGTTAAGTTGAAACTAAAAACTGTTAAGAGAGCCAAACCATCAGGAAAATATAATTAAAGAAAGAGGTATATAACTAGATACGTCTAATACACAGATACTTATCATCTCCAAATCATCACAAAGAATAGAAATCAAATGTCAGCATTCTCTTCCAAGCAGCCCAGATCCCCCTCAGAATCATCTACCTCAGACTCTAGGCAGGTACAATCTATTGCTCCCAACATGATGAAGTCTGTTTGCATCCCAAGGTCTTTTTTTCCTTCCAATTTAATTCGGCAAGTACTGCAATGTTTACTTCCAAAACTAGTCATTGCAGAAATATGAAAATTAGCGAGATACTATTTCTGTTCCTACCTTAGAGCTTAGCAGAAAAAAGGAGTCAAATACTCAAAGAAAGTATAAATCAGAAAAAAAAAACCCTGTATGGTAGAAATTATTATTCCCATTTTACAAGTAAAGAAACAAAAATACATTAAAAATAGAACTACCACATGATCCAGTGATTCCACTTCTGCTATTTATCTGAAGAAAATGAAAACACTAACTCAAAAAGATGTGTGCACCCCTCATGCTCATTGCAGCATTATTTATAATAGTCAAGATATGGAAACAACCTAAGTGTCCATTGATGGATGGATGGATAAAAGGAAGAGGTATATATATCTATATAGATATAGATATACAGATATATAGATATATACACACACAACAGAAAATTAGTCATAAAACAGGAGAAAATCTTGCTATTTGCAACAACATGATGGATCTCAAGGGCATTATGTTAAGTGGAATAAGTCAGACAGAGAAAGGCAAATACTGTATTATCTCATTTACATTGGAATCTAAAAAATTTTTTTTAATTAAAAAAACAACCAAACTCATAGATACAGAGAACAGATTGGTGGTTACCAGAGGCAGGGAGTGGAGGGTGGGTGAAAGAGGTGAAGGGGGTCAAAAGGTACAAAGTTTCATTTATAAAATAAAGAAGTCATGGGGATGTAATGTACCGCATGGTGACTCTAAGTCAATAATACTATATTGCATATTTGAAAATTGCTAAGGGAGTACATTGTAAAAGCTGTCATCACAAGAAAAAAATTTTTCATGATTATGCATAGTGATGGATGTTAACTACACATATTGTGGTGATCATTCCATAATAGATATAAATATTGAATTATTATGCTGCACACCTGAAACCAATATAATGTTAAATGTCAATTATACCTCAATAAAGAAATAAGGAAGGAAGGAAGGAAGGAAGGAAGGGAAACTCAGCGTAAGTGACCTACCAAAGGACACACAATAGTAAGTGACAGCATCGGGATGTGAAGCCGGGTACATGCAGTTCTGTGACTGCCTGAAATTGCAGTGCTGTAATGCTCTCTCATACAGATAGGACATGTGGGGACAGGTTCTGCTCCATGCAGAAGGAAGAATTCTAAACCCAGAGGAAATGAGCCACAAAACAGATTTTACGCTTTAGAAGTCTTCAGAGGATAAACGAAGAGGAATTTGATGAGGACCATGACACCAGTCTTACCCCAAACGGTCTCTTGCCTTCCACCAGTGAGGGTTATACTTCTCCAATATCAGGTACTCCTCTGATCTCTTTAATGCTAAATCACACGGCTCTCTGGGCAGAAAATCATAGAGCGCCTTTACTTGGATCTTCTCTTCAGTAACCTCAGAGGGTGGGAGGGGAGGCAGTGGCTTGCGTTTTGATGGTTGCACGTGGTCTCTGTTGGACTGTAAAAACCAAGGAATTATTTGTCGTACTATTGGTTTAGTAATCTGCACTAAAAAAAAGAATAGGGATAGAGTACATTTCCCTGCTGCCCCAATTCACCCGTCTGGATGCACCAAAGCAAAAACCAGAGTGGATAAACACAGGAAATGACCATAAAACAACTTTTGAATCCAGCAACCCACTCATCGTTTTGTATGTTGTCAAGATCACAAATTCTCTTGCCAGCATCACACTGGATGTTTCTCTTTTCTTTTTTACAATAGCTCTGTGCTCAACACGAGGCTCGAACTCATGAGCCTGAGATCAAGAGTCGCATGCTCCACGGACTGAGCCAGCCAGGCACCCCTGGATGTTTTTTAAGCCACAATTCTTGAAATTTGATTTCCACCCCAGTAGTTTCACTTTGTTTTATGGGTTTTTCTCTCTTGAAAAAAGATAAACAGCCCTTTCCTTTCACACACGCTATAACCTGTGTTTGGGTTTATCACACTTCTTAAGAACACTGTTTCCTCCAACACTGAGCTGAAAATTACTCCTGGGTTCAAAATGGCAGTAGCCAGAATACATTTTTCCCCATTCACTGTCTGGTTTCAAGTTCTGCCAAAACATAGCAGAGTAGGCTATTTTAACTGGTCTTTTTTTTTTTTCTCTCTCTCTTCTAAGGCATTCATTCACTAAATGTTTATTAAGCACTTGTTACGTGCCAAGCAGGACCCTAGATTCTGGGCATGGCAGCAAACAGTACCTCGAGGAGCGCAGACCCTAAAAACTCAAGCTTCCTCTGTTCCTTCTCCCTCATCAAGATGATACTCACTTGCTTCTTGCTTGGCAATTCCCTGAACCACAGCCTGCGACGCTGGGTGTATTTTTCTGAAAATTCTTCATCTTTGCTCAGGCTTATATGTGCTCTGACTTGTCTGAGATTGAAAAACAACCATGTTACCAATTATGATCTGAATTCAGGTTATCCAAGCATTCACCAGATATTCACGAAACTAGTAGGAAACTCCAGGTCTCTTTCTGACTTCTTTCTTACTTAAAAGACTTTCCACAGGCAAGTTACTACCCCCCAGAACTGCATTTTCCTTATGGAGGAGCTAGAGATGCTAAGAGCAAATGGAGTTGTTATGGAATAAAATTGAAGAAACGTACGTCCCATGCCCAAACCGAACCTGGTGCATATTCAGGTGATAAAATAATGATCATGATAATGAAAAACTCATTCTGCGTCAGGCACAGTGTTTATCATTTTACATGCATGACCTCGTTTGACGGTATCCATTGTTATAAGTAGACGCGGTGTAGTGATTAAGAATATGAGTTTGAATCCCAACTCTACCATTTTACACTGTGGCCTTGGGAAGCAATAGAACCTCTCTAAGCCTCAATTCCCTCATCTGTAAGATGGAGATTATAAAAACCATAGGTGTTTTTGAGAGTTACGTGGGCTAATAAATGCAAATCTTTTAGCACAGTCTTACACAGAGGACACCTCCATTAAATGCTAACTGTTACTATTATCATGGTACCTTGCATTTATTCTATACAATCTTTTGCTGGCCATCAAAGTGCAAGAGACCCTGATCATTGGTGTGGGCGGGGGGAGGAGATATTCTAATAAATAAGACAGGATTCTTGCCCTTAAAGGGCAAAAATTATTGAGCAGAACACAGAGAAGTAAACAGCATACACAAAATAAATATTAAATACAGACCCAAGCCACATGCTGTGGGAACGTAATGGAAGGAGCAATTCATGCCAAAGGGATCCAGGACAGATGGTGGAAGACCTGAAATTTCTGAAGGAAGACCTTTAGATCAGTGGGCACGCAGCCGGGAGGAAATGGGAGAAGGGCTTCCCCGGCAAAGGGAAGGGCAGAATCAAGGAGCCACGGAGACACAATAGACAATGAAGAAACTGAATGGATGACTTTCCAAGAAGTTGCCCTCAGAAGTAGACTTACCTCTTCTGCATGGAACAGCAGCAACAACAACAGAAAATTGACTGGATGCTGTTATCTGAAAAGCAGATCATTGGAGAGAGCCGTAAGTCCATGACATTGGCTAGATGAGGCCAGTGGTGCTAGTCCAAAGGAGGAAATTCCCAAGGGAAATTCCCAAGGAGCAATAGGAATGATATGCTAGGTCTTGACTCTGCCCTCCTTTATTTGTGGCAGACGAGAAACTGTCTCGAAAGCACAAAGTTACTGGTACCCTGGCCAGTGTGGTTTCCCTTCTCAGGCTCTTCTCTCCAGGTCTGGTTTATGCATTTCCTCAGTCTGTGAATGACAAATGACCACTCTATTCTACTTCACCTTGATCAGGGCTAATGTCAGCTAATAAATGTACAAACACAATGTACATGATTCCAAAAGCAATGTTCTCCTAGGAAATCTGTTAGCAGGGATTTTGAATTAGGTCCATCACATTTCTTTTAAAAATATTTTTAATATTTTAATATTTAGTATTTTATGTTCATAGAACCTGGGTTTCCCAGTCAGCTCTCTCTCATCATGACAGTTGACAATGAAGCATTAGGGAAGCAGAGAGTATGTCAGACATGAGTTCTGAGGTTAGACAGACCTGGGTTTGAATCCTCACTGTGCAGGTGACTATATCTGGGATGAGTCCCTTTACTTCTCTAAGTTTTCATTTTCCTATCTGCAAAAACAGGATAATCATACCTAACCCCTTTGAGAAGCCTTATGAGGCAGAGGTTAATCTCTAACTTAGTGGGTTCGGGGAAGTTACTGGACTGTTCTATACTTAAGTTTCCTCATCTGTAAAATGGGAATAATTGGATACTTGGCATGTAAATCTACTGGGAGGATTAATTGAATGGATTCCTGGAAAGCACCCAGAACAATGCCAGATATATAGGACGAGGGTAATCGAGAAGACCTATTATTACTATAGGTTGTTGAGAAGATTAAATTAGACATCATCTCTAAAGTCCCACGAAAATAGAAGAGGGGTACAAACAGAAGACACCCACTACAGTCTACCCCTCAGCACCCACTCTGTGCCCCCAGAACAGGGGATGCAACGGAGTTTTCATCAGCCATCATGTTATCACCAGGTGATGAAAACTCTGATACCAATGACTGTATCAGTCAGGGTTCCAATATGAAACATGACGTATTTAAATTAGAATAATTTTTAAAGGGTTCATACACAAAGGGACTAATTACAAAGGTGTGGATAAGGGGTAAGGGAAACTGGGTCCAACAGTAGAACTGTCACCATCCCTAGGTCCAAAAGGACCAGGAAAGTGAGAGAGTTAAGTAGATTTCTAGACACTAAAATAAATTACTGAGCCCCCCAAATCTACATTATATTGTGTATTATTAGGTTTGGGGATTTCAGCTGCTTTTGTCAATTATCTGGTAGTATTTGCATGAACAAGTGGCCAAAAACTCCTGGGAATGAGGGTATATTAGCACTTAGGGGTTCTGTCTGCTTTAGCAGGACTGGGTCTAATTTACATTCTTGTCAATTGATTCCAGTGTTGCTTTAGAGTCCCATATAGATCTGTCTCTATCCAGGCCAAAAGATACAAAGTCAAATGTAGGTTACACAAATGAGTGAAGTGGGTCAGAGTATGGTTTAGAATGTGGCAAAAATGCTGTGGCCTCATGTAGAGGTATTCAAATTCAAAATTTTAAAAATACTCCTTCCCTCTCTTGTATCACCATTCCCCTCTCCACTGGATCATTGCCATTAGCATACAAATATGCTGTTACTTCCCTCATTAAAAATAAAAGAAACTACTCTTGATATTATTTCCTTGATCAGCTTTGCTCCCCATTTAGAGTAAAATCTAGAAATGAATCATCTTTACTTGCTGCTTCCAATTCTTCTCTCTTTTTCTCTTAACCCATTCCAGTCAAGCTTTTGTTCCTACCACTTCCCCCAAACTGCTCCTGTTAGGGTCACCAGTGACCTATGCACCACTCTAGCCCATGGTTAATTCTACGTCCTCATCTTGCTTGACCTCTCAGCAGCATTCCACACTCTTCTCTTGGTTTTCTTTCTTCTTGATCTCTTTTGCCACTTCTCTTCCTCCCTACCCTCTCAGTCTGGGGCTAATGATAGCCGGCTCCAAAGCTTTTGATCTCTTCTCTGTCTCATTCACTCCTTTGATTACTTCATTCCTTTCTGTGTCTTAAAAACAATCTATCTGCTAATGACATCCAAACGTATACCTCTACCCAGTTCCAGTGCATTCCAGACTTGCACACCCAAATGCAGTCTCAAATTCTAGACACTTGGGTGTCTAGTGGACACCTCCAATTCACATGAAGAAATCTCAACTCCTTCTCTTCCTTTCTACCCAGACTTGCTCTACCCATCCTCTCCATTTTGTCAATAGCAATTCCATTTTTCCAGTGGCTCAGGTCAAGGATCCTGGAGTTGTCTTTGACTCTTCTCTTTCTCTCACACCCCAGTCCAATCTGTCCGGAAGTATGCTGATTCTGCCTTAAAAATGTATCCAAGAGGGGCGCCTGGGTGGCTCAGTTGGTGGAGCGACTGCCTTCGGCTCAGGTCATGATCCTGGAGTCCCGGGATCGAGTCCCGCATCGGGCTCCCCCTGCTCAGCGGGGAGTCTGCTTCTCCCTCTGACCCTCCTCCCTCTCATGCTCTTTGTCTCTCATTCTCTCTGTCTCAAATAAATAAATAAAATCTTTAAAAAAAAAAATGTATCCAAGAGTTTCAGTTTGGGATGATGAAAATGGTCTGGAGATGGATAGTGGGGATGGTTGTATGGTAATTCAAATGTACTTAATGCCACTGGACTATACACTTAGAGAGAGTTAAAATGGTAAATTTTATGTTATGTATATTTCACCATGGTTTAAAACTCTCTCTCTCTCTCTCTCACACACACACACACACACAAACACACACAGAATCTTACTGCTTTTCCCACCCTCTGTTCTTACTATGGTCTAAGCTACCATGATTCATCTGGATGATACCAACAGCCTGCTGACTTCTTCCTGCTTCTACTCTAAACTCCCTATGGTCTCTTCTCAGCATAGCAGCCAGAGTAATTAATGTAAAACCCAAGTTGGATCATGTTGCTCCTTGTCTCCAAATCCCACAATGGCTCCCCATTTCATTGACAGTTATAGCTAAATTTCTCACACTAGCCTATAAAACCCTCCGTGATCTGGCCTACTGTTGCCTCTCATTTCTGTCCAACATGGCCTTGCTTGTGTTACTTAGCCACACTACCCTCCTCCTGCTTCTGAGGCACACCAGGCCTGCTCTTCCTGAAGTTTCTTTGCTTTTGTCTTGGCTAGACCACTCTCCCCTCCAGGTGTCAACCTTCTATTTTTTTAAATATTTTTTAAATTGAATTATAGTTGATGCAAAATAGTATATTCATTTCAGGTATACAACATAGTGATTCAACAATTACATGCATTATGTAATATTCACCACAATAAGTGTAGTTACCATCCATCACCATACAGGTTATTCAAATTTTATTGACTATACTCCCTATGCTGTACTTTTCATCCCTGTGAATTAATTATTTTATAACTGAAAGTTTGTACCTCTTAATCCCCTTCACCTATTTTGCCTATGCCCCCATCTCTCTCTCTTCTGGCAACTACTAGTTTGTTCTCTGTATTTATGAGTCTGTTTCTGTTTTTGTTTTTTCATTTGTTTTGTTTTTTAGATTCTACATGTAAGTGAAATCATATGATATTTGTCTTTTCTGTCTGACTTATTTCACTTAGCATAATACCCTCTAGGTCCACCCATGTTGTTGTGAACAGCAAGATTTCATTCTTTCTTACGGCTGAGTAATATCCCATTGTGTGTGTGTGTGTGTGTGTGTGTATACCACATCTTCTTTATCCAGTCACCTATCAATGGACACTCAGGCTGTTTCCATATCTTGGCTATTGTAAATAATGCTGCAATAAACATAGGGTTGCATATATCTCTTCAAATCAGTGGCTTTGTTTTCTTCAGGTAAATACTCAGAAGTAGAATTACTGGGTCATATGATCTCAGAAATGGACCAAAAAAAGGTAGAAGTAAATCACTGGGACTACATCAAACTAAAAAGCTTTTGCACAACAAAGGAAACCATCAACAAAATAAAACAGCAACCTACTGAATGGGAGAAGATATTTGTAAATGATACACTGGATAAGGGGTTAATATCCAAAATATATAAAGAACTCGTACAACTCAACACCAAAAAACCCCCACATAATCCAATTTAAAAATTGGCAGAGGATCTAATAGGCATTTTTCCAAAGACACATGAAAAGATGCTCTCAACATCACTAACCACCAGGGAAGTACAAATCAAAACTACAAAGAGATATCACATCATACCTGTCAGAATGACTATTATCAAAAAGACAAGAAATAACAAGTGTTATCGAGGATGTGGAAAAAGGGAACCCTCGTGCAGTGTTGGTGGGAATGTGAATTGGTGCAGCTACTGTGAAAACAGCCTGGAGGCTCCCCAGTCCTAATGAGAAAATGAAAACTATATTTGGAGACAGAGTAAGTAGGTACAATAGGAAGCAGTGAACAGTAAGAGTGGAGACGTACCAATCTCATCCAAACCCTCAGCAGCCCACACTGGCATTTCTGCAGTAACTCATTTAATCCTCATTTAACCGTGTAAAGTAGGTGCTGTTTTACAGGTGAAGAATCTGACCACAAAGGGGATCCTCCCTGCTGAGACTCAAAGGGCTTTTAAGTTGAGAGCCAGGATCAGACCCAGGCAGCCCGACTCCAGAGTCTCTACTCTCAACCTCCGGCCACAGTGTTCACTCAGTGGCTGAATGAACTGGTCAAAGTACCAGCCTCTGAGCCCTCCTTCAATCCGTCCTCTAAGTTCATTTCCCTGAAAGTCTGTCTCAGCCAACGGCCCTCCATCCTCAGCTCCCAAAAAGACCCTCAGTTACATACGGCATCAAGATGATACCCTCCCTTATGTTCATTGCCTTTTATAACCTGGCCAACTCCACTCCAAATCTCCATGTTCACCACTCCTCTTGCACTGGCTCCCTCCACTTGATCTGCTCTCGTAGACATCCTGAACATTCCTATGTCCAACCTGAAAAGGACTGCCACTGCAACCCACTCCCATCTAATGGCCCTCTGGGTTCCCAGAGCACAGGTGATTGGTCCTGCCCTGTGGCTCGTAATTGGGCACCATGTTAGATGGCCATTTATTTTTTTTTAAAAGGTTTTATTTATTTATTTGACAGAGAGAGACACAGCGAGAGAGCGAACACAAGCAGTGGGAGTAGGAGAGGGAGAAGCAGGCTTCCCGCGGAGCAGGCAGCCTGATGCGGGGCTCGATCCCTGGACGCTGGGATGATGACCTGAGCCGAAGGCAGACCCTTAATGACTGAGCCACCCAGGCACCCCTAGATGTTTTGTTTTATTTAATAAATTTATTTAATAAATTTAAACGGCCATCTTTGCGTAGGCTCCATCTCTCACAGGGTTTCTCAACCACACCACAACTGACATTTTAGATTGGATGATTCTTAGGGGGTTGGGGGCCTCTGTCTCGGGCATTGTAGGATGTTTAGCAGCACCTCTATGACCAGGTGTCAGCAGCAACCCCTCACCCCCCTTCACACCCATCTCCTCTTCTGAGTTGTGAAAACCAAAAAACTCCCAGGCATTGTCAGATGTCCCTGGGGCGGCGGGGGGGGGGGGGGGGGGGGGGCAGGGGAGCAGTGTGCAAAAATCCCTTGATTTTGAGAACCACTGAGCTCCATTGTAAGCTCTTCAATTTCAGCGCTTCTCCATCCAGCATGGGTGCCTGGCACACAGGGAGAACTCAATAAATCGGCCAATACCCCCACACCACCACATCACACCTGGGCTCTACTTTTCAGTAGCTCATTCTACCACAGGACATCTCACAGCACGATGCTGGCCACAGAACAAGTTAGGCTGACCACAACCCTTTGACTAAGTAGAACAGCAAAGTTGAAGAGAACAGCTTCCGGATCTTTGGCTAGTACTTATAGGTCATAAGCCTAACCCGCAGTCCCAGAACCATTGAATAAAGAAGTAACTTATCCAAAATCAAGCATCAGTCCATGAGATACTAAATGAAATAGTAAAACCCTCTCTGGTGTTCAAGGATTTTTTCCATATTGGGACAGCACATGGGGTTTTGAGTGGGTTTTGGTGTCAGACCAACTTGCAGTCAAATCATGGCTCCATTTTCTAGTGGCAACAATGTGATTCTGGGCACAGAAAACTCTTCTGTGCCTTTGGGAAATTCCCAGTTTCGGCCAAGCTCGTGCATATCCAAGCCGGAGAGACTAAAATGCCCCAGAGACGGGCAGTGACTATTTGCCCGCTGGAAGGGTTGAGGATTATCTCAGGAAGGAGCCGGAGCCTCCTCTCCCTCGCTTCCGTCTCGCGCTCATCTCTTCACCTGCTTCTTATTCCCCCGGCAAAATCTTTAATTATCCACCAGGTCGCGGCAACTCAGGGAAAGGGCACCGCATCCTGGCGTAATCCCTGCGACCTTTAGGAATGGCCCATCTCCACGGGTAAGGCAGTCGAGCCTCTCGCCGGGGCGGCCGTTCGCGTTCCTTCCAGGGAGGGCTTGCCGCCCCTTCCCTCACTCGCGCCAGCCTCCCCGCGCCTGCGGGCGGGGGTGGGCGGCCACAGCGGGGCTGGGGGGACCCGGCTTCCGCCAGGGGGCGCTGGAAGGGGGCGAGTGAGAGACGGCCCGCGACCCGGAGGCCGCCTCCCGCGCCCTCGCCAATCGCGGCCCGCCGCCAAGCCGGGCCCCGCCCCCTCGCCAATCGCGGCCCGCCGCCAAGCCGGGCCCCGCCCCCTCTGGGAAGCGGAGCTCGAGGCCTTCGCTGCGTCTCCCATGGTTTGAGGTTTACATCGGCTGAAGCTCGCGTTCATCCCCTGGCATGTCCGACGTCACTGTTTCGTTCTGAATCAGCCTCAAGTGAAATTTTATCCCTCCTGAATCTGGTCAGAAGTGGCAGATGGCCGCTGCTTTTTATTTGAAGACATGAATAACTGGCTCGGTTTCGAGGGCCGTCCTGAACCAAAGACCAGGCTAGTTCAGTCGCCCAACCCACACGCTCCAGGTGGCGGTTTTAAGGCGAGGAATTCTGGTGGCAGCTGCCTCGGCGGGGGAAGGAGGGCGCGGGGGCGGGGGACGAAAGCTCGCGGCTTTGGGGAAATGGCTCTGGGTGATTCATGAGGGAGTCTGACGTTCAGTACAAGAGAGGCGCCATTGTTCCCAGAAATTCTCAGAAAGACCACACGTCCTCGTGACGATCATAAATTCCCACCATGAGATGTTTCTTAAGGGCCTTTTAAAATCAGACACATTTTAATCGACTAAACCGATGTCATCTGGGAGGAGTGACACACAGCCAGCTTTCCTTTAGCGCGACATTCTACCTCTGATCAGGTATCAGAGAAGCCTTTCCACCTGCCAAACCAAGAACACACACCTATGGGGGGGGGGGGAAGGAAGGAAGGATGGAAGGAAGGAAGGGAGGAAAGAAGGAAGGAAGGAAGGGAAGAAGTAAGACACTGAGTTTTTCATAGAAATGTTTATTCAATTTAGAAAGCTATCCTTTACACTAATATCTGAGTGTATGCTCTTTATATATTTGAGTTGTTAAATTATCTTCGTTTTGTGTATACACTTCCTCTTGATATTAAAAAGACCTACCCCTCTAAGAGGAATGCTAGAAGAACACTCCTGTGTTTCCTTTTGATGTTAAAATGTCCCTGCTTCTAAGAAATGATGGTCACCAGAGAGGTTAGTCTTTTTGAATGTGTTGACAAAATAAGTTAACAACCCTATGTTAAACCCCAAACTGTTTTTTTGACATCCTCTTGAGTCTTACCTTAAAGGAAGAGGAATAACTACTTTAGGGGAATTCATGGGTCACTAACAGAAAACAGGTACCTAGCTTATGTGACCGTAAACTGATAAATTTGGTGGCAGACACAAATGGTACTTGGTCGGGCTGGGGCCTGAAGGGGCACTGAGTGTGGGGAAGGAGTGAGGAGACTCTAGAAGCCCGAGGAGCTGGATGGGGAACTGGGCAGCAGGGAGATGGTGTCCAGGGAGTAACGGCTGCTCTGAGGGAAGGCAGAGGCTGCCTGAAGACTGCACATCTGTTCTCAGCCTTGGCCAGGGCACAGCCCCAGGCACCAAACATTCCAGCGCCCTGAAGCTGTTGTTTGCTCTCTGCAAGGATATTGCTTTCTTCCCAGTAATGAGCTGGTGTGAGGTGGGCTGGGCAGGCGCCTTGCAGACAACTCCTCCCTGCCCCCAGGTCTCAGAGCAGTATTTTCTAGAAGACTGATGTCTGTGACCTCAGAATTCATGACGAGCTCACAAATATCACACCCAAGACATTGAGCCAGCTTGTGCTCAGACACAAGGCCTGATGGCAGGGTTGGCACTGTGCTGGAAGCTGTGACCACTGGCCCTCAGTGGGCAGGGGGTGCACAGACGCTGCCGGCCGGTGGGCTCCACGGAGGCACGGCAGGGAAGCTCAGCATGCCAGGAGACACGGAAACCTCACAGACGCCATCCCCCATGCTGGCTGCTGTTGTCATTATTACGACAGACTTGAGGCAGTTGCAGGGGGATAAAAACGAAATGATTTAAAAAACAAAAGACACATATTTCTGCTAGTGTCCATAGGAACAGGAGGAAATTCTCTGTTTTTGATAAAGGGGAAAACTCCAGCCTGAGGCAAAATAGTGGTGGAAGTGGCCACGTTTGATTTTGGCCCAGGGGTTCTCCCTGCTTTTGCCACCGAATTCGTCATCTGTTGTTGGAAACAAATCATTATTAATCTCACAGTTTCTGTGGGTCAGGAGTCCAGGCACAGCTCAGCTGGGGGCCTGTAGGTAAAGGTTAAGAAATTCATGAAGCTCATGAAATTGTAGTCGAGTTGAGTTGATCCACATCCACGTTCACTTCCATGGCTCTTGGCGAGCCTTGGTGCCTTCATTCCTCATGATGGGGATCCTCCACAGGCCACCTGAGAACGCTCACAGCATGGCAGCTGGTAATCCAGGGGACAGAGAGCCCGAGAGCACGAAGCCAGAAGCCACAGTCTTTATACAACCTCATCTCAGAGAGAACACTCTACTGCTTTTATCATCTTCTCTTCATGAAAAGTGAGTTACTAGGTCCACTTCAGACTCAAGGAGAGGGATTGCACAAGGGTGTGAACACGGGGCAATGGACACCATTGGGGGCCATCTGAGAGGTGGCTATGCAGCTCCCCTCTTTATCTTCATATTAATAATAATGGTAATGATAGAAGATAGTAACTTACGGTTGGTGTGGAAATTGAATACAACGAGGAATGAGAGGGGGCTTTAAAAATAGGGGCCTCAGAGGGGCAGCTGGGTGCTCAGTCATTAAGCATCTGCCTTCAGCTTGGGTCATGATCCCGGGGTCCTGGGATTGAGCCCCGCATCGGGCTCCCTGCTCAGCGGGAGGCCTGCTTCTCCCTCTCCCACTCCCCCTGCTTGTGTTCCCTCTCTCGCTGTGTCTCTCTCTGTCAAATAAATAAATATTAAAAAAAAAAAAAGGGTGCCTGGGTGGTTCAGTTGGTGAAGCATCTCCCTTTGGCTCAGGTCATGATCCTGGGGTCCTGGGATCGAGCCCCGCATCGGGCTCCCTGCTCAGCGGGAAGCCTGCTTCTCCCTCTCCCACTCCCCCTGCTTGTGTTCCCTCTCTCGCTGTCTCTCTCTCTCTCTGTCAAATAAATAAAATCTTAAAAAAAAAAAAATAGGGGCCTTAGAAAGGCAATGTGATCAGGTGTACATACCTCACGCCCAGATCAAACTATGGAGGTGAGTCTGGAAATCGACGTTTTATCAGTATCCTGTAATACTTCAGGCACACTAAGATTTAAGAATCACTCATATACATCATTAATTTTTTTCCCTTCTACTTCATAAATTGGGAAGAAAAGAAAGGCAGAGAAGTTAGGTGAAAATGAGGTGGAGGGGAAGGAAGAGGTGAGTTTTTCAAACCCCTAGTTCTCCCTGGGCTCTGTCCTCTAAATAACTCTACGGGGGCTGGATCTGTCCTCAGGGCCACTGTTAGTGGGTAGAAACCTTGACCATACCCAATTATATTTCACAAATCGAACTTCACTGGAGCAGTGCTTGGCAACCTCGCTCAGGCTCTCCCCACGGTTCAGTATGACCAATATCTCACCTTCTCCATGATCTTCTCCCGCCCTACAGCAGCCTATCAGGCCAGACTTCTATGACAGCTCTTAGAACAACAAACATATTTGGCAAATGACTCTGGCCTGGCAAACACATACAAACATTTTCTGATTAGCAGTAATACACCTGGAGACATCTCTTGGCTTTCTCTTTTCAACGGTAAACACCTAAGTGTTTTAACCAGAAGCAAATAGAGCCATATCTCCAGGTGGTTGGTGGCAGAAATAAATAGGGGATTCTTACATGGAACAAATGACCAGAAGCTGGAAGAGATGGTGAATGTTCATCAAATCCATGCCCTTCCAGGCTGGCCAGAATGACCCTCAAAATAGTCCCGCCAAAAAGAAGAAGTCAAACTCTCACTCTTTGCAGATGATACTTTATGTGGAAAATCCAAAAGACTCCACCCCAAAACTGCTAGAACTCATACAGGAGTTCAGTAAAGTGGCAGGATATAAAATCAATGCACAGAAATCGGTGGCATTCCTATACACCAACAACAAGACAGAAGAGAGAGAAATTAAGGAGTCGATCCCATTTACAATTGCACCCCAAACCATAAGATACCTAGGAATAAATCTAACCAAAGAGGCAGAGGATCTGTACTCAGAAAACTATAAAATACTCATGAAAGAAATTGAGGAAGACACAAAGAGATGGAAAAACGTTCCATGCTCATAGATTGGAAGAACAAATATTGTGAAGATGTCAATGCTACCTAGAGCAATCTACACATTTAATGCAATCCCTATCAAAATACCATCCACTTTTTTCAAAGAAATGGAATAATCCTAAAATTTGTATGGAACCAGAAAAGACCCCGCATAGCCAGAGGAATGTTGAAAAAGAAAAGCAAAGCTGGCGGCATCACAATTCCAGACTTCAAGCTCTGTTACAAAGCTGTCATCATCAAGACAGTATGGTACTGGCACAAAAATAGGCACATAGATCAATGGAACAGAACAGAGAGCCCAGAAATGGACCCTCAACTCTATGGTCAATGAATCTTTGATAAAGCAGGAAACAATGTCCAATGGAAAAAAGACAGTCTCTTCAACAAATGGTGTTGGGAAAACTGGACAGCCACATGCAGAAGAATGAAACTGGACCATTTCCTTATACCACACACAAAAATAGACTCAAAATGGTTGGAAGACCTAAATTGAGACAGGAGTCCATCAAAATCCTAAAGAAGAACACAAGCAGCAACCTCTTCGACCTCAGCCACAGCAACTTCTTCCTAGAAACATCGCCAAAGGCAAGGGAAGCAAGGGCAAAAATGAACTATTGGGACTTCACCAAGATAAGAAGCTTTTGCACAGCAAAAGAAACAGTCAATAAAACCAAAAGACAACCGACAAATGGGAGAAGATATTTGCAAATGACATATCAAATAAAGGGCTTGTATCCAAAAGCTATAAATAACTTATCAAATTCAACACCCAAAGAACAAAGAATCCAATCAAGAAATGGGCAGAAGACATGAACAGACATTTTTATAACAGACAGTGTAGGAGGGTTCCCCTTTCTCCGCATCCCTGCCAACATCTCTCATTTCCTGACTTGTTAATTTTAGCCATTCTGACTGGGCAGATGGTGTTGGGAAAATTGGACAGCCACATGCAGAAGACATGTTGTTTCTAGGAAGAAGTTGCTGTGGCTGAGGTCGAAGAGGTTGCTGCCTGTGTTCTCCTTTAGGATTTTGATGGACTCCTGCCTCAATTTAGGTCTTCCAACCATTTTGAGTCTATTTTTGTGTGTGGTGTAAGGAAATGGTCCAGTTTCATTCTTCTGCATAACAGACTTAAATAACAGAGTTATTTAGAGGACAAAGCCCAGGGAGAACTAGGGGTTTGAAAAACTCACCTCTTCCTTCCCCTCCACCTCATTTTCACCTAATTTCTCTGCCTTTCTTTTCTTCCCAACCAAAGAAGACATCCAAATGGCCAACAGACACATGAAAAAGTGCTCAACATTGCTCGGCATCAGGGAAATCCAAATCAAAACCTCAATGAGATACCACCTCACACCAGTCAGAATGGCTAAAATTAACAAGTCAGGAAATGACAGATGTTGGCGGGGATGCGGAGAAAGGGGAACCCTCCTACACTGTTGCTGGGAATGCAAGCTGGTGCAACCACTATGGAAAACAGTATGGAGGTTCCTCAAAAAGTTGAAAATAGAGCTACCCTACGTCCCAGCAAATGCACTACTGGGTATTTACCCCAAAGATACAAATGTAGGGATCCGAAGGGGTACATGCACCCCGATGTTTATAGCAGCAATGTCCACAATAGCCAAACTGTGGAAAGAGCCACGATGTCCATCGACAGATGAATGGATAAAGAAGATGTGGTATAGGGCGCCTGGGTGGCTCAGTTGGTTAAGCGACTGCCTTCAGCTCAGGTCATGATCCTGGGGTCCCCAGATCGAGTCCTACATCGGGCTCCCTGCTCGGCGGGGAGTCTGCTCCTCCCTCTGACCCTCCCCCCCCTCATGCTCTCTCTCTCTCTCATTCTCTCTCTAATAAATAAAATCTTAAAAAAAAAAGATGTGGTATATATACAATGGAATATTATGCAGCCATCAAAAGGAATGAGATCTTGCCATTTGCAACAATGTGGATGGAACTGGAGGGTGTTATGCCGAGCGAAATAAGTCAATCAGAGAAAGACATGTATCATATGACCTCACTGATATGAGGAATTCTTAATCTCAGGAAACAAACTGAGGGTTGCTGGAGTGGGGGTGGGGTGGGAGGGATGGGGTGGCTGGGTGATAGACATTGGGGAGGGTATGTGCTATGGTGAGTGCTGTGAATTGTGCAAGACTGTTGAATCACAGATCTGTACCTCTGAAACAAATAATGCAATATATGTTAAGAAAAAAAAAAAGAAGATAGCAGAAGGGCAAGAATGAAGGGGGGAAATCAGAGGGGGAGATGAACCATGAGAGACGATGGACTCTGGAAAACAAACTGAGGGTTCTAGAGGGGAGGGGGATGAGAGGATGGGTTAGCCTGGTGATGGGTATTAAAGAGGGCACGTTCTGCATGGAGCACTGGGTGTTATACACAAACAATGAATCATGGAACACTACATCAAAAACCAATGATGTATGGTGATTAACATAACAATAAAATGTTTTTTAAAAAAATTATGCACACACACACACACACACAAATAGTCCCGCCAAGAGGTCGTCTCTTATTTAATCCCTCGGGCAACCTAATCCTGTCTCAACCCTCACCATTATTTATTTTCTATATAATCAAATCTTGTTAAAATTTACAGCCTTTTCTCTAGTTCTGACCTCAGGAGAAATGAAGAACAGATGCTCGCACAGCTTTTAATAAAAAGGTTATTAAGTCACTGCTCATCTTCGTTCTACCGTCGGGGGCGGTGGGGACAGAAATTGTTGCTTCGTAGCTCTTCCGCTTGGCCCTGGTTCACCTGTATTTCTGATAACAGGCAGCCCCATTCTGTCGATGAGTGGATCAAGACTGTAAGTTATATTCAGGTCAGTACAACTGAAATAGCCTGGTTTATCTTTTACAAATTCTACCAACAAGCGTTGGGTCCTGTGAAGTGATGTGGCTTAAACAGATGACATTTAAAAATTGCCACCCGTTTTTCCTATCGCCACTTAAGAATCAGAAATGTAAAAACTTTGTTAGCTGGTCTTTGATTACTTTAATCTGATATGACCGGGCTTTGTTAAAACTAGGTTCTATAGTCATTCAGAATTAAATAAATCAAAGACAGTATTTTCCTTTCTTATTTTTTAATATTTTGTGCATAAGGTCCTCATAGAGTTAAATTAATAAGCATTTTCAAAATTGCGCATGGAACGGAACAGTCTTCCAAAGCAACTCCAAAATTAAGATCATGAAGGACGTGTCATTTCTAGCTACTGTTTATGCTATCTTGTTGAGAGGTGGGCAGAAACAGGGTACCATTTTACAGATAAGGACCCGACATAAGAAGTTGCCAAAGGTGACCCACCAAGGCTGTAGCAAATCCAGAGGCTAAAACTTGGTCTCCCAGCCTTCAGCTCGGAGCTCTTTACCTTAATATCGCCCTAAAAACACACACTTTTCAAACTGCATTTCCATACACACATATAGATTTAAGGACACTATTTTGTTTCCTTTGCATTCTCCATGCTGAGCATTTACTAAAATTACATCACTACAGTGGTCATTTGAATAACACACAAAACCCTGTCACAACACCTGGGGAAATTATCCTCAAAGTTTCACAAGCCTTATGCCTGCCTCTGCCAGTCAAGAGTAAGTAACAGGCCCAGAACAAGCCCTGAAGATAAAGGACGAAGCCGTCTTACTTACAGGTGGAAAGAATCATGGCTGTGCTTCTGCAGGGAGCAGACCAAACAGCCTTCAGTTCTTCAGCGCCGCTCCAGTCACAAAAACACATCTTTTAACTGAAATCATAGCTCGCCCAAGATGTTTCTCACGAGCAGAGTTAACCCCACCTATTTTCCTGTTCTAAAAACCTCAGAGAAGTGTGTGAATGACAACCCAATGGCCTATATAAGAAAGCTCAGTAATCTCCATCCAGATCTCTGAGGGTAGCTGCTATTGGTTCCTCATTCCCAACTGTGTGGGTGACTCCAGCAAACAACATTTTCAAAAAAAATCACAGAATTTTCGTGCAAGCGACATTAAAAATCATCAAATCCGAAACTGCCCTCTCTGGACAAAGAAGGAAACAGATGCGCAGATAGGACAAGGGACACAGTGGAAGAAATAGAATTAGATTCTAGGTATTGGAGTATAAATCTACAATGTTCTGTCCTCCCACTCAGTACTGACACTTCAAGGACCATATTACAAAACTTCGTTTTTTTGTGGGGATGGAAGCCAGTTCAATAATACACCTAAAAGGTGACTGAGCCATGGCTCAGAAATATAAAAACATCATCAATAAAAAATGTACTTAGGAGTTCCACTTCATTCCCTTGGAAAATATAACCAAAAAATTAAAACTAAAGGGAACAATTCTAACGAGCACATAGCATTTTCACATTGCCCTTCCTATTTCCTGCTTTATAGATTAAGATCTCTTTAAGCATTCTGGGTGGATTCTTTTATTTCTACTTCACTTTTTGCCTTCGTTACGCTTTATACAAAACCTTTTGTTAAGTTTTGGTGAAAAATTTAAAGATTTTTGAAGATGTTCCCAAATGTTGCCAGGTATTATCCATCTTGTTTTCCACATCAATAGTATACGTAACGATTACTACAAGGACTATACTTTGTCCTCACTTTTCTTCAATACCATCCAGCTCCTCTAGGTGAAAAGGAAAGTATGGGACCGGACAGGGAGGTGTGGGAGGAGTCAAGGTGAAGAAGAAAGGAAGGAGAAAGATATAACTGACAGTACTCAGACTCAAGTATAACGAGTATGACCAACTCCTTGAATGGACTACCATTCAGTTAAAAGGTGCATATGTTTTCGTGATGGGGGTACGGTTAAACAGGAAGATGAGGAGGAAGGTGGCAAACAGACTGTGACAAGACTTAAGATAATTTTTTTTTCCATTATAAGGAGGATAAGGAAGGATAGAAGATAGCTTTCAGTGGATGGACAGACCAGAAGGAAGAGATGGTTCTCCAGGGTCCTAGGGAGGCACCACTCAGAGCAGCCAGCAACAGCTCTGTGTTCCCACAACACCAAAGCAGCTGAAACTCCTACAGAAAGGCCCCGTGTGTTGTGTGTGCCTCAACTTTCTACCCCCATAATACCAAGAAACATGTGTGGGCCATACAGGGCCTCTGCTATTGATAACAGAGACTGTTTCCTTTCCCTGGGCTCATGAGGAGAAATAAAGGTTCCAACTCAGCTGGTGTCTTCGTCAGAGATTGTAATGGTCAGAAACCCACTCAAACAAACCTGATCACAGGGTCTACCGTGAGGCTCTTCTAGACAATCTCACTGATCCAGGAACCCAAGTCCAACCAGATCTCCTGAAAACCATCTGGGAGACAGCTCTATATACCATGTGCTCCATTTTTCCTGGTCTCTCTGCCAGAATTTGAGCTTGCTCCCGGGTCTTGCTTGCGGTGGGGGCAGGCTTTGTTGTGAACATCACCCCATCATTCTGCCCCAGAGCCCAGCACCTCCACTTACAGCACCTATGTCCTGGGGCAGATTCTCAGGATGTAGAAAGTCATTGATTGCCTCTAGTTCAATTTTTTTTTTAAGATTTTTATTTATTTATTTATTTGAGAGAGAGAGATAGCATGAGCCGGGGTGGCGGGGGAGAAGCAGATGGACAGGGAGAGGCAGACTCCCTGTTGAGCAGGGAGCCCAATGTGGGACTCGATCCCAGGACCTTGGGACCATGACCTGAGCCAAAGACAGACGCTTAACGACTGAGCCCCCCAGGTGCCCCACCCCAGTTCAATTTTTACCTAACTCCAATTAGTTATGGATACCATGGGCACGGTCACTCAGCCCAAACGTGGGCCTGATTGGGGGCTTAAATTAGACAGGAACCCCCAAACATGTCTGCCTAAGTGGGGAGGAGGCATTAATGGTAGAAAGGTCCAGACTTTTTTTCTCTTCAGTAAGGAATATTTGATCCCCAGGGGTAGAGAAATTGACAGCTGCAAGGCACAGTCCCTAGTCCTGAGAAAGTAAGTTCATACGTTACAGAATTAAAATTTTTAATTAAAAGACAACTCAGTTTCTTATAAATATATATCTTTATATATTATATATATTTACAATATATACAGCATACAAATAATGGCAGTCTTAAAAACGGATGTTTTTAAAACAAAAGAGGGGTACTTATCCAAGATGGGTTCCTGATTCATCCAGAACCCACATTTTAGACAATGCCTCAGGCCCAGATTTCCATAGAAGTCAAAGGAAAGAGAAAGGTTGCTGGAACAAGGCTCTAAATCCCTTTCCTTTCCCAAATATCCTGACCTTCCACTGACACCAGCCAACATGGCCCCACATACACCCCTAAAATGGGAAAACCTTGGGGTCTGGGCATCATACATGGTGGGTGCTCAAGTACTTGTGGGATGGATAAAAGTGAGTGTTTTTAATCACCATCTCTCAGGCAGCATTTCCATAACTTGAAAAATCCAGTCCCAGAGCTAGGACTGGTCTAGAAGCAAATGCTTTAGGTTTTTCCACTTTATAAGTAAAACAGTCTACATGTCCAAGTGCTAAATAAATTAAAAGTTAGCCACAAAGTGCCATTTCTTCCTCATGCTTTGGAATCTGGACTCCACGGATCACACCACCACTTATCTTCCAGAAGTTTCTTCACACTCAACTAGTTCATCTATTGTGCGCAGCAAATCTTCAAAGGAAGGCCTTCCCTCTGGTTTCTACAATTAAAAATCAAAGAGAAGCTGTGGGTTCCAGAATCCATCCCCCAAAATAATTTTTCACGTCCAAACTCACATAACATAGCACACAAGTGCAAGGTACTCATTGTTTTGGAACTAGAACACTCAGGTGTCTCCAAATGGGTCTACCCTAGCCTACACATACTGTTGCTAGACATACCTTTCCGTGACATTCCTTTTGTGTCTCCATTTAAGAATCTAACACAGCTCCCTAATGCCTGCAAAATCAAGTCCTCCTAATTTGCAGTGCCCTCTATAACCTGCCTTCCCCCATCCTCTTGCTACCCAATTTCATTCCCCACAAAAACCCTCACCTGGGCTCTCTGCTCCATGAGACCAATCTCCACCCTCCTGTACACACACCACACTCATTACCACCACCTTACCTCTGCTCATGCTGTCCTCTCCCACCCCCAGCAACACTTCTTGCCCAGGCCTTTCCCATCCCAATCAGTGTTCTTTGGAGACATTATAGCAAGTGACCAAGAGCATGGTTCTGCTTCTCTGTAGCAACGTGGTCTTGGGCAAGTGTCAGTTTCAGGAGCCCTGATCTTCTCGTCCACAAAGTGGTTATATAAAAATCTCTGCACCTCTGAAGGTTATTTTGAGAACTCTATCTAAAGCACTTAGTACAGTGCCTAGCACACAATACACATGAACTATTATTATCTTCCAAAAATCATTTTGTTGTCTAATCTCTTCTACAAGGTGACATTTTAATACACCGGGAAGGAAAACTTCCAAAGACTGACTCAAGAGATCTGGGGGAAGTTGAGGTTTGGTGAAAGAAACCCCCTCTGGTGAAAGAGTAATATTTCAACAATACAAGCAGTCCAGTGAAAGAAGAGCTACTTCTCTGGACTTAATCCTGGAGTCCCGAACTCAGGCAACTGTGACAGGATTTCCCCTTGGGAGTGGGATGGCAACCTGAATTTATGATCTTAATTATTATCATTTTCTGCTGCTTCACCGTCTTCTTCCCATTATTCAGAACTGACTTGAGAAGGTTGGCTTTCTACCCAGAGTCTGAAATCGTATAAAACACATACTAACTCACTAGGCTGTAGAGACTATACACTGTTAATCTACCAAGCCCAGATCCCTGAATGTTTCAGAGATTCAGAAT